ATAGTTATATAGAGTTATATAGGGTTATATAAAAAACCATGGGATTCCCGCAATTCCTGTTCCCATGCTCACTTCAATTCTTGAGATCCGATCTGAACATAGTAAGCTTGTGAGAAATAGTCAGAGAAGGAGGTTGAAAGTTCTAGGGTTCAGTAGCATTTTTAGTCGAAGTAACAGTAGTAGCAGCAGTAGCCACCGAAGCAGTAGCAGCCGCAGCAGTACTATAGCAGGAGTACTTAAATAGTAACAGAACTCATCGGCCCCACTCAAGTTTTGCGCATTAAAAACCAGTGAACGCATATTTGTTTGTATTAGCTACATGCTTTTTTCTTAGTCCTTTCATTTATTTCAATCGAACGCTGTACATTTCTACCACCACAGGCACGCCAAACTATGATGCCATACGCAAGTCATCCGGTGCATCCGCACACTAAAACACAATAGACTCCAGGTATACCGCATGCAAAATTACGCACGCACACACACACATACACGAGCACACACACGCACACATATATATCCATAAATACATATCTTTGCAAGTACATATAATACGCCTATATAACATGTCAAGCAATGTATGTTTATGCAAACAATAGGCCGATTGAACGGACGAATAAGCGGGAGATGAATGGATGAGTGAATGAATGAATAAATGAATGAATGAATGAATGAATGAATGAATGAATGAATGAATGAATGAATGAATGAATGAATGAATGAATGAATGACTGACTGAATGAATGAATGAATGAATGAATGAATGAATGAATGAATGAATGAATGAATGAATGAATGAATGAATGAATAAATGAATGAATGAATGAATGAAGGAATGAATGAATGAATGAAGGAATGAATGAATGAATGAAGAGATAAATAAATGAACCAGCAAACGTTCGAACGAACGAATGTACGAATGAACGATTGAATGAATAAATTCTTAATAGGAATAATTTATTGAACGAATGAATAGATGAATAAGTGGATAGATAAATGAATGGATGAAAGAATGAATGGAAGAACGAAAATGATTGCAAACCTGTCCTTTATACAAGCAAGGCACTAATTTGAACAAAATTATTTATATACAGTAAAATAAACATACAATACAATCTACCATACAAACCATCATACTAGGAAACTTTCAACAAAAACATGCACACAAAAAAATATACAAACAAAAACATACAAACATACGAACGAACGCACAAACATACAAACCTTAATTTTTACAGCCCACTACTGATGAGCATTTGTTTGAAGCAATAACTTTCACAGACTACAAACTAGTATGTACCAAACACATATGTATTAATATAGAAATGATTAATCAATTATAAATATATATCTATATATATTTGTGTGTGTTTGTGTGTGTATGTCTATGCGTGTGTGTTTGTACTTTCCTAGACAAAGTATTGCGTTTTAATGAGCAATAACATATTTACACATATATATGTTATAAACTTTTTCTCTCTCTCTCTCTCTCTCTATATATATATATATATATATAATATTAATATATATATTTATATATATTTATAATATTGATATATATATATATATATATATATATATATATAGTAAAAGCTGGAAGGAGACCATAATTGATGCAATATTGAAAAATTCTACCGAATTTTTAGCTTCTGAAGGTTTACGATTGAGCTTATCAATATTTCTAACAGTAATTTTATAATTATTATCCAATTTATTAAAATTAATGAGAAAATCGTTGGCCATAATTCAATTTTACTCATCATCAGCAACATCATTATCGGCCAGAAGATTATTATTGAAATACAAGAAAAGAGAATGAACAGAACAAAGATTTCTTTGTTCTGTTCATAACCGGAAAATGTGCACACCAAAGAATTGTAAAACCTTGTAAAATCTTACTTTACAATTTTGTGTACAATTCCATTAAAATTAACTTCTGGTGACCTTTCCACAAGTTTACTTTTAAACTTTTTTTGAATCCTACATTGTGATTAAACTATGTTATGTTATATCATGTTATATATCCGTATTTACAAACCATATACAATACTCATTAAGTATTAATAATAATACAAAACACACTTAATACAACGGAAATGAACGCATAACAAACACGAATACACAGACAGACAGACAGACAAACAAACACAGACAGATAAACACACACACACACACACACGCACGCACGCACACACTCATACACACACACACACACACTGGAGCTCTCTCGCTTATAATGATGTGAATAGGTAAAAAAAAAATATTTTTTTCATAGCAGCGGTGCTTATGTACAATCCATCCTAGCACGCAAACCTCGTTAAAGATTAAGAAGATACGTAGAATAAGTACAATTATGTCTTTGTATTATGAAATGTAAGTATCATTATTAGTTAGGTACTGGTACTAATACCGTTTGTGTACTGTTTCGTGTGTCTTAATGATTACTGCATGTGTGTATGTGGTGTGTGTGTGTGTGCGTGTGTGCTAATACACTAGTTGTATATTTGTGAATAATTAAGATATATACAGTTTAATAATAATCACAAGCATGTATTCAGTTTTTCTATAAAAAAAAGTATCAAAAAATTATAAACAATTAGGTGCTTGATATGTTTTGTGTATTGCAATAATTATTTTATGCGTGTATTTTAAAAGATCTATATAACATGAGAAGTTCATTATTTTTTTACGATGAATCTCATGGGCTTGTGGTAGTAGTAGTAGTTCTACTAAAAGTAGTAGTAGTAGTAGTAGCAGTAGTAGTAGTAGTAATAGTAGTAGTAGTAGTAGTAGTAGTAGTAGTAGTAGTAGTAGTAGTAGTAGTAGTAGTAGTAGTAGTAGTAGTAGTAGTAGTAGTAGTAGTAGTGTAGTAGCAATAGTAGTAGCAGTAGTGGTAGTGAAGTAGATGTAGGAGCTGCAGTAGAAATAATGATAGTAGCAGCAGCAGCAGTAGAAGTAGTGGTAATTGTAGTAATAGTAGCAGTGAAAACGATAACAACAGCATCTTTCTGTATTTGATCCAACTGACCTAGAGGTCTGTCCAACGATGCTTATATCAAACAAAGTTGATTTTCCTCATCATCGTCGTCATCATCTGCTTTCACATTTTCGTTTTGTCTTATCATTTCTGAAATCATTGTCATCGTAAACTGTCATCTTCTTCATCGAAGTTGTCATCATCATTTCAATGTTTTGCTGTCATTTATCATTATTATAATGTTTAATTGTCCTTATCAACTTCGTCATCACGATCAACCTCCTCTCATCCTCATCGTCTTTGTCATCATCATCAATGTCCCCTCACCATTGTCATCTTCATCATCATCATCGACCTCCTATAATCACTATCATTATTATTTTGCAGTATCGTCATCGTTATCATCATTAATATCATACTCGTCATTATTTAATTTCTTCATCATTGTCGACATCATCACCGTCATCATCATCATGGTCATCATCATTTTGTCACACCATCTTCGTCCTCGTCGTCACCATCATTTTTGCCACATCATCGTCATCGTCATGGTTGTTGATTAAAAAAATTGAAAAGAGAGACGTAATGCAGTGAGATAGCAGGCATAAAACAACAATAGTCATTCACCTTTCTAGCCGACAATTACGATGAAGATGATGACGACGATGAAGATGACGACGACGATGAGAATGACGACGATGACAATAAAAATGATGAAGATGTTGACGGCGATGAAGATGATGACGACTATAACGACCATAGAGTAATAAAAAATGTCTCGGTCGATCGTAAATTCAACAAAGAATAAGAATTCAAATAAGTTAAAATTATATTAATTGATATCAATGATTAGATATCAATATCAAATTATATTAATTGATATCAATGGTCTATTTTTTGTAACTTACCTTGATGCCCTTGTTACCAAAGCCACCAAACAGACAGGGGTATTTAAATATAGAAATGGTATATGATTGAAATGAATCAAGAAATGAAGTCATCGTCATCATACAATCAATTAAATACAAATTAAGCACTGTAAACACCATCCAAAGTATATATATCTCTATATATTTTTACATGTATATATATATATATATATATGATGGAAAGATTTGTATATATATATATATAAATATGTATATTTATAAATATAAATATATATATAATATTATACGTACATATAGTAAATGTTTGAATGTGTTTATGTATGTCCTTGAATATATATATATATATATACACATATAAATAAATAAATAAATATATATATATATATATATATGTATATATATATGTGTGTGTGTGTGTGTGTGTGTGTGTGTGTGTATGTATCTATGTGTACATGCATGTATGTATGTATGTATAACTTTTCGTTTTGCACCTGCACTTTTTCAAGGAACCTTTTCAAATGATTCAACCAACCAAACAGGGATCTAGACAGTCAACGAACCAACCAACCAACAACCAACCAACCAACCAATCAATCAACTAACAAAATAACAGAACAATCAGCTTATTAGGCCTAATCAACCAACTGGCCAGATCATTCAGCCAATCCGCAAAAGGATTAGCCGACTCTCCAATCAAACAGCCAACCAATAAACTAACTCATCAATCAACCAACCCTCCAATCATGCCATCATTAAACCATTTACCAGCCAATCAACCAACCAGCCAACCAACCAACCAACCAATCACGTAAACGAGCAGTTGTTGATTGCCATGGCAACGACGATCGATGGGTTTTTCAGCACTCATTGACGTTCTAGGCTATCAAGGAATTATTAATTAGTGTGGTCGGCTCCTCTTCGTCTTCATCATCCTCTCCTAATGTTCCTCGGTATTATCTTTTCATTCTTCTTTGTTTTAATTAATGGCTTCTATTAGTCTTGTTATTCATTTAGTCTGTAAATGGAATTCGGAAATGATTCTCAAAATAATTTAAGTGATTCAAAATTCTCCATGTAGAATAGTCTCTAAAACGAGCTTGTAAAAATATAATTTACAATCTAGCACATCTCTATTTTTTCAGTAAAGTTTACTTTTAAATAGTATATAAGACGGCTTGTTGTTTTGATAATGATCAAAAAGGTTGTTAATTTTTCATTTTGATTTTATAAAATGGCCGATCCGTACACTTTAGTGAAAGGTGGAAAATTGAAGTTCAAGAAGGGAAAAAATAAAAAGCAAGTTAACTTTGTCACGCTCATAATTTAATTTTTTTACTCAAAAATTTTTGATTTGTTTTTAAATTTTAATTTTTTTAAATTAATTGTAAATAGAAATACAAATGGGAAAAATGTTACAGATTAAAAATTTTTTTAGAAGCTTTTCAATGTTCTTACTAATTTATTTTGTTATATATTTTTTTGTTTGTTAAAAAATATTGTCATTTTATTAAATATCAGGTTAAAAGGAATGAAAGATAGTGCCACTGCTAAAACATCAAGTGAGACCAACCAAGATGAACTGGCTAATCAAAGAGAGGACACATTGAAACATGGTATATTAAATTAAATGATTTAATTAATTTTGATTAATTAATTTATATTTTTTTAATTAAATTTGAAAAAGTTATCAAATTCATATTAAACTTTTAGATATGGATACAAAAATAATATAATTAGACTCTCTAGTTACTATAAATTGAATTAAATTATCAGTTGTATTTAAATTTGTATCTAATTAATGATTGATAATAGATGATAATTTTTAATTTTCTTTTTAAATTTTAATTTTAAAGGTGGCTGGTGGAAGATAGAATCATTTTTACAGTGCACTGGGGCAGTGGCCATAGAGGTCGGGGCCACGAACAGGTACGTCCAGGCTCTTGACAGTGGGCTGTTCTGTCTTGGAAATGAGCATAGTTTAGGTCAGGCGATGATGATGATGATTACGAAGATAATGATTATAGGTTGATGATTGGGATGGGGATAATCCGATAATGTTAACAGTGTGTATATATGATGATTTTAATGATGATGATGGTTGAAGATAAATATGATGATAATTGCACATGTATTTTGTCTTGACTATCAAGTTATTTTTGTGTATACATTGAGTTAATCATTGTAATGACTGAGTTAATCTTACATTACTATAAAAAGGTGAAGGGCCTGAGGCTGAAGAGATTTTGACAGCAATGAAGACGACAGATTCACACATTGCCCTGAAATCAGGCTACAACAAATATCTTAGTGTTCAGTCAGATGGTAAGGTCGTTGGTAGGTCAGACGCCATTTCAAGTAAAGAACAATGGCAGCCTATATTTCAAGATGTTAGTACTTTTTTTTCATTTCTATATTATCTTTGGTGGTTTTATATTTTTTTAGTTTTGTTTCAATTTTTATCAGTTTTTTAGCTATTGTCAATTTCAAAACTGTAGTATATTAGTGTGCTATTTATGTCATTATGCTTTTTCAAAAATCTTTTAACTTTATATTAGAATTGGAACATCATTAATTACAATTTCTGTTTTTTCATTATAAAATAATATAATCATATTTAACAAAATTTAAATCAAAATGAGATAAAAAAAATAAAATAAAATTTAATCACTTGATGTTTTTATCAGGGCAAGATGGCCTTACTTGGCTGCAACGATTGTTTCCTGACCATGCCAGAAGATGGTGGCAAGCTGTTTTGTAAGAGTAAAACAGCAACTGACAAGGAGTACATACAGGTCTGCTTGTGATTTGTGATGGCCCATTTTCATTATTTCATCATCATCTTATCACTTTTTCTTATTAACTTTTAGGTTTATCATATTTTAAAGATATTTTTTTTCAAAGAAAATTAGAGTTCTAGATTAAATTTAATTTTATATTTTTTTCATTAATTTTTTTTAATTTTTTCCTCTCAAGATGAGATCTTGCACAAAGATTGAGAAGCCAAAATCTGAACTGGACATCGACAGTGGGAAGATTAAAGATGTCGAATTATCTTACGTGTTGGTCACATTTACTATTCCATCAAACAAAAGCTATATCTTTTAGCAATTATTATGTTAGTTAGGTTGATAAATTTTATATTTAATAATTTTTAATCAATTTAAACATAATTTTTTGAAGGAAAAAATATCAAAGTTTTGAAGACAGACATATTAAAGTGAACCCTGACGATAAGAAAATCGTTAAAAAAGCCAGGATCGAAGGATCATTACATGAAACTTTACTTGATAGGTTTGTGTTTTTCATATTAGTTTTTTAAAAAATATTTTTAATTTTTTTGTATCAATAATAATTATTGTTCATAATAATATCGTTCTATTTTATTTTTCAGAAGAGAAAAAATGAAGTCTGACAAGTTCTGTAAATAAACAGCCTCATAAAATAACAAAATGGATAATGACAGTTTAAAAACTATTTTTTTTATTGTTTTTTATCACTCCAAATTTATTCATTTTCAAATATATTCAAAGCGAACGATGGTCTTGTCTTTCACTTTATGATGTATCTAACTAATTTTATAATTACTTGGTTGTCTTTTAATGCCCATAGCCCAATTCATTGAATTTTTGTACTTTCATGATATGTTTGACTTGCCATTTATATCATATCTGATATTTAATAAAATTCAATAAAAATTACACAATTTGCAGTTTATTTTTTCATGCTTTTTTTATTTTTAAAGCGTGTTTTTATTGGCAATTTTTCTCCAAAAATATACCATTGAAACTACAGTTAACTTTTAGTGGCTATAAAGGGGTTAACAATGTCGTCGTCTACCTTGTGACAAGTCGTCGGTTGTATAAATTTTTAAAATAAAATTACTAATTAATCTGATTGTGTCATTTAAAAATAATGGCTGACGAGTTTGTTCCTGAAATTGCTTTCAGTGACTATGAAGATCAAAAAAGGTTTCGTTTTTTTATACTCGTAAATTATGATCATTAAGAAATTACAATGTGAATAAAAATAAAGTATGCTGAAGAAAGAGCCAAGAAAGTTTCCAAATTCTTAATTTATTTGATAATATTATAATTAGTTACTTTTTAATAAGTACTAAATTATTATTTCGCAGAATAAACGTTTTAAAAGCAAAATTTTTTGAAATCTTCTCATCCGATCCAGAGTATTATTGTCGAGCTCCAGGACGTGTCAATCTGATTGGTGTTACATTGTGATACGTTTCATTTTAAATTGTAAATAATTGTAATGAAAAAAGCTATTTTATACTTCAAACTAGAGTGTATAATATAATTTAGTATGTTCTTTTATGTCATCACTTATTAGTTTAAATTTTGTATTGTTCATCCTATTGCATTATCAGTTATCTGCACACGTTTATTTCGCTTTTAAATGACCAGGGGAGCACATTGATTATTGTGGCTATGGTGTTCTTCCAATGGCAATTGATCAGGATATATTGATAGCTGCATCCAAAAATGGCAGCAGTAAACTCAAACTCTATAACCTCAATGACAAATATGGGTTAGTCGAATTAAGATTTTCAGAGAAAACTGGCTTTTAAATATTTACTGAAAAGTAATTCAATAAAATGTCAACATCAAAGCATGACATTAATGACATTTTCCAAGCGCGCAAGAAGTAGAGTGCTCATCATTTGAGATAGACAAAGCATCTCCTAAATGGTACCACTATTTTCTCTGTGGCTACAAGGGTGTCATAGAAAAATTAAATGCAAAAAAAAATTGCAAACTGTTTGGGCTGAATGTGTTGGTGGATGGTTCAGTGCCTCCATGTGCTGGTCTGTCCAGTTCCAGTGCCCTTGTGTGTGCTTCTAGTCTGGCCACTATGATGCCAAGTGGCTGCAAGTTCACCAAGGTTCGGTGTTTGCGTTGATGAAAAAAGTGTAATTTTCTTTCTTAAATGAAAAATATGTGAACAGGCACAAGCATGCATGCTATTTTGAAAAAAATATTTTTGTGTGATTAATATATGGAATTTATAATGAGTTGGTGTTTGTTATTAATTGTTATGAAGTCATTTGAGATAAATTTCCATTGACGTTGTAAATTGTATTTCCATGTTTGAATGGCATGTTGCAGTTGGAGATGGCTGAGTTGTGTCAGCATTGTGAGAAGTACATAGGAACTGAAGGTGGTGGCATGGATCAGTCAATATCATTCCTTGCTCAGAAGGGAAAGGTTCGTAATTCTTTAAATGAATGTTGTGCCACCGATGATGCTTGTTTAAAACTTTGTATATTGTCTTATCCTTTTAAATTTCTAATTTAATATTTAATTTAATAGGAATAATAAAATATGAATTGTAGGCAAAGTATGTGGAGTTCAATCCAATCCGAGGTACAGACGTTCAAATACCGCTTGGTGGTTCATTCGTCATTGCAAACTGCTGTGTGGAAATGAACAAGGCAGCTACTGACCACTTTAACATCAGAGTTGCCGAGTGCAGATTGGCTGCCCAGGTTCTAGCCAATCAAATTAATCTAAATTGGAGGGATGTGAAACGATTGGTTGATGTTCAGAATCTTCTCAACCTGTCATTGGAAAAATGTTTGAAACTTGTGGAAAGACACTTCCACATCACTGAATATTCCAAGGAAGAGATTTGTGCTGCACTAAGAGTTACTGAACAAGAGTTGGATGAAATATCGTTGGGACCTAGATCAAGGCACGGTACGTTTCTAGCTCCTCTAATACTTTTTAAATGCTCTCTCATCATTTAAACATTTGGTGCCAGTGCCAGTTGCTAAATGGTTCACATCCGTGGTTCATTTTCGATAACATTTTATGTGATTCTGCAGTGAAAACATTCAAGTTGCGCCAGAGAGCTGAGCATGTATACAGTGAATCCCTTCGTGTCTTGAACTTCAAAGACGTCTGCAACAAATTTTCTTCCTCATTATCTGGAAACACAAAAGATTCAGAAGGGGATGTCCAGATTGACGCTTCAGCAACGTTGAAACGGTTGGGCGACCTGATGAATTTGAGTCACAGAAGCTGTAGGGATGATTACGAGTGCAGCTGCAAAGAACTGGACGACCTGGTTCATCACTCCACGTTGGTTCCATTTAAGTTTCAATTATATTTTGCAAAGTATTTGATCACAGTACAATTACAACCATTAATCATCACCACCATATCAAGCATTTCTATCTAAACCTAATCAAACGCCTGCCGTTTTAACGTATAATATTTAAAAGAGATTATTGAACTCAATTGACAGTTCCAGTGGTTCCCTGGGTTGTCGTCTGACAGGGGCGGGTTGGGGCGGCTGTTGTGTTTCTCTAGTTGAAGATGACCAGCTGGATGACTTCATTGCGAAAATGAAGAATTATTATAAGCAGAAGGGATTTTCAGACTCTGTCATCGAGATGTCGTTGTTTGTGTCAAATCCTGGCCAAGGAGCTGCTATCATTTTGAATAAGTAAGGGTGGAAGGAGAAAGAAAGAAAGGAGAGAAAAAAGAAAGGGACAAAGAAAGAGAGAGAGAGTGAGAATACGGTCGTGAATTTAATCATATTATGTTGGCGAAGTTTTTTTCGTTTAGTCGCCTAAATATGAACTTTACCATTGCCTTCGTCACGCACACATCTGCCAAATATTAACGTGTAATTATGGTTTAGTTCAATTTTTATAACTCGCTTAATGTAAAATAAAGTACAATTAAGATATATTGCATGATTTAATTCATTTTTAATTCAACTTGATAAATTACTTAGTCATTCGCTCGGACGTTAAAATGTTATTCATTTATTCGTTAATCATTGTTCATCTGATCCGCTTTTAATTTTTTGTTTTATTTATTCTTCTGGCAGTTTTATCACACTCCTTTCATTCAATATATCAATACGAACTTCGCTATAGCGGAATTTTTTATTCATAAATACTATAAATATATCAGAAGTGGATGAAGAAAACACACACACGTACGCACAAACACACATATAAATATTTGATTAAGTGTCAGAAATGCGCTTATTGATGAAAATCACAGCATTAGTTTGCAACCTATTTAATTTTTCAATTTTTCCAACGGTATATACGTACGTATAACAGGACACACATATGTAATTATTTTATTTCAATCAAAATAATTTATACTACATAGTAACCAACTGAAGTACATACATACACTGACAAGTTAAAATAATTCATGTTGTTAAAATTAACACAATAGGGTCATTTTTTAAATACTAGCAATTGCAGACAGCATCAGTTTAATTAAACCATGATTGACAAGGTGTACCTCTGCTCACAAAACAACAGACACACAGGAAAGTATCAATATGTATGCTCTATGTGCAGCAGATAATACACAAACACACACTTTAAAATGCACATACAAACATACATAGCATATACGTTTATATATATACATATATATAAAAATATATGTATGTGTGTCATTATATAAAGATGTTTAAAGGATGGATAGACTGAATAAATAAATAGAAATAAATCCAAATAAATACAGATAAAATGTAAATATTATTAATTTCTCAAAAACCATTTACGAATATTATATTAATATTACGAAAATAAATTTTTATAAAAAAAATTCGATTTCCAAAATTTAGGGATAAAAGATTTCCTTGGAATGATTATCACATGGTAAACAAAGTAAAGACGCAACGAATTTCACACTAATATAATATTATATATCTATGCATGCGACTTAATTTAAATGTGTTTGTGTGTAATCCAACTGCATTATGTGTGTATGTAAGTATTTGCCAGATGTATGTACTGTTTATAAAATCTATGTATATGTTTGTACATACGTTTATAACAAATTTATGTCTATAACTGAAAAAATAAGTTAAAACTGAATCAAATCAGTGTGTAAAATCAAGCAACATTTACACCTGAAAGCAATTTCATTAAACAAATGAACTCTGTCGTTGTCATCCTAAATGTATATACACAAGTTAAAAGCAAATAAGCTAATTTTAACAAAACAAGATAAAATTTATGAGGAGAAGAATAATAATTCAATCAGCAATTTTAACGCCAGAATGATTATGCAAACTTATGACATGATTATGACAATTCTTAATCACTGATAGGATACTCTGTCAGTTTTCTTAGCAAAATTTTCACTCTATGATGATTAAACGACCATAATGTATATATATATATATATATATATATATATATATATATATATATATATATATATATGTATATATTAAAGAGGACCCAATATAACTATAATAAACAAATTCACTTTGAAATGTAAAATATTTAACAAATATATCATTTACAACCGTAATAAATATACATAAATTCATCTTTAAATGTTGAATAATTAACAATAAATATAGTATAATAGCCATAATATATAAAAAAAACTCACTTTCGAATGTAGAATAATCAACAAATATATCATTAATGACCATAATAAATAAATAAATCCACTTTTAATTGTAGATTAATCAACAAATACATTACCAGCAAATCAAATTTTAAAAAAATAAAATGACAATCTATGCCCTAGGTTTGGACGTGGGTGTTGTTTTAGGAACAGTAAACAATTTCCTAACGAAAATTACCTGAAGAACTGAAGTTAGGATGATGACAGCGCATAATATTATGGACATCCTTTGGACGTGTTTGTTGTTGTCTGAGATCAGATACCAGTCCTTTAGGATCTGGTGGACATTCTGTGATTTATAGCCCATCATCTTCTTTACATTTTCATCGAGGATTGAGAAATAATGCTTGAAAATTTGAATGAAATGTTATTAAATTTATAAATAGAGAAATATTATAAAAAGTTAGGCATACATCAATATTTGTAAACATCGATACCAGCACGATTAACATGCTGGAATATGCATAATTGACTACAAAGACAACATTGATAGAAAAGTGCAGACAAACATGAAAAAAGACAGTCACACAAGCATACATACAGTGACATTGGCAACCCCGTCATACAAGTCCTGTATATCCTTTGACAACTTCTCCCAATCAGCTTCAAAATAGGAGTTCATGAACAGGAATACAATTTTGTTGGAGTATCGACTCAACCTGTTGTCCATGCAGACTGTGTATACACCTGGAAAAGTATTTTATCAAAAGTTTTCCAAAAAGTATACAGCTAATACTGGCATCATTTAAAGAATTATATATAAATAATCAGATTTCTTTCAAGAATTGAATGCAAACCATCTAGTGGAACACGAGTGTTAACTTGTCCTTCGTTTGTCCACTGAAAGTTTTGTAAGGACATGCCATCGGGTTGAATTATTTCAAAATCTATGTTCTTGTCTGCCCCCTTTAAAACCTAATTTCAAATTTTTAATTGCTACTTTTGAAGCTGTTACATGTCTTTGGTTTAGTGAATAAAATCATTCAAGTCTACAAAATAGTTTAGTAGAGATGTATGAGTATAACTTTTAGTTAGAATAGACCAAGCATACATTTCAGAATCAGAATATTAGATTCATTTGACAATACATGTGTGTGTATTTTGTATATACTCACACCACACTATACCATAATATACACACTTAACACATGAATACAAAAGCAAGAAGCCCAACAAAAATCCTAACTTCAAAGAAGAGAGAAAACTTTGCATCTTTCTGTAGACGTTGATGGAAGCATTCGAACGATCCAGCCGCTAGTTCCACTTTTAGTTCCTGGTGCATACCCGGAAGACCGTACACGTCCATCACTAATTCTTCCGTGTGCATCGAAGGAAACACGCCGTACCGCAGATACTCGTGGTTGCCGTCGTATATCGGTCTCGGCCCTTCGTCCGTTTCGGTCATGAAGTGCGGTGGAGGTGGAGACGGATGAAGCGTGGTCGACACTCCTTGCGAATCATGTTGGGAGGACGTGTGCCTAAACAAAAAAGTGATCAGTGAAATTGCAATCGGGAATGAGTTACATAATCGGAATTTCATGTTTATGTGCAAATATTATTTGTTGTAATTTAAGAACAGACAACAGTCAGCTAGATCTTCATTCAAAGGCGATATCTGCATCGATATGACAAGGGAAACATGTGGCAAGCAAATGAAAACACTCAACGTCATCGTGATGTTGAAGCGCTTCACGTGCACGTATCAGCTGAATGCTGTGCGACACCACGAGTCTGTAAGTCATGACAAATTCCAGAGTAAGTGCTTATTATACTTTATTTTGTAGGATTTAGAAAATGTTATTGTTTGTTCATACTACTGATCAACAAAATCTGCCAAAATTTACTCAAAAAATAGAATTTTGAGGCCTGAATAGGGGTAGCATTGTAATTTATGAATGTGTGTGAAGCAAAGGAACCACCAATTTTAAGTAGTTCAACCTGAAAATCGGTCGTTTCGTCATTATTTTATAAAATGTGGTTAAAATTTGTTTGAAAATTGAAGCAGATGAAGATAAAGATATAGATCGGTGTTCGTAACACGGTGAGTAACAGATGCGCTAACATAGATGATCAATAATAACAACAACATGGCATGCTTATATCTGCCTCACCACTGAACAGTCTTATCACTGTGCTGATGGTTTGAATTAAATTGCTACGATTATGTTTAATAATTGCTTTTTTTTAAATTGATACGTTGAACAGTTCTAAATATTTCCATGGATATTATTTTATATGAAGATTTTAATATATAATATTTAAATTTGTAGAAGACAGACACATTTCAGCATGAATTTTTGCAAACATCAGACATGTGTATATTACATTATAATGTACATTCTCCTACACGAAAGATGCGTCGTTCATCTTCAACAACCTACCACTCCAGTTCAACTCGCAATAATGGAGCTGGGACCAAATGCTTCCAGTAAGATAAGTGCCAGCAGCTTTTGTTCTGGGTTTTACACTTCTTTTGATGGGATTAACACGACCTGTCCTTCGGGGACCGTGTTATCGTTAGTTGATGAAGTAACTGAAACGTTTGGCGACGTTCCCAATTATGAAACTTTCTGGATTTCAGGAAAAACTTCCACCGCGATAAATTCATTCTCGGAAGAATGGATCATGTTGAATCTAACGGATACATTCCTTGTAATAGCTGTGGAGCTAACGTTCGGGAGTCCTGCAACACTTCAGGTGGACACACGACCGAACACAATGGAGATTCAGAAATGGGACCAGGCTACCGGGACATGGATGACTTTGAATTACTATTCTAACAATTGTTTGACTGATTATCAAATTTCTACAACTGATTTATGGTTTGGTATTTCGCGCAAATGCCAAATTAGAAAACCTCTGTCTTTGATTGGTTCCGGCAATTACGAGGTATAATATTCATGACCTTTGCACTGAATTTTGAAGAAGGTTATTTAGTAACTTTTCAACACTAAGACAATCATCAATGAAAGCAAATTAAGAATCATATTTAAAAGTGATTTTTAAACTGCAAAAATGTTACTTATATTTCAAGGTTAACTACAGACCAATTGATGACTTTGGCGACGTCATCTATACGAACGAAACCATTCAAAGATTCTTCATGACGTCAGCGATCAGGGTTAAATTTAAAACTCCGCCCATCGCTGATAACCCAGATACGTCATATTACACCGTGTCTGACTTCAACGTCAAATACCAGTGCGCATGTTTTGGTCACGGCTCGACATGCGGTGGAGTGGTATGTGTGTGCGTGCGTGCGTGTGTGTGTGTGCGTGCGTGCGTGTGTGTGTAGTATAAATTTTCTTATTTTGTATCTTTACGATTACCTCTCACAAAGTCTTATCTTACGTCATCATCCACTCTCATCAGTCGTCTTTACAATCGTTGTCGTCATCGTCATTGTGACATCATCATCGCCGTATTCGTTATCTTTCCACTGTTGTCACGGCCAACAACCAAACATCATCATCATCACCAACATCACCTCGTCACTATGGTCACTAACATCACCACCAATAAGAATGGAGGCGAATGCGTGTGCGGTCACAATACGGCCGGGAAGAACTGTGAGATCTGCCAACCGCTGTACAACAACGTGCCCTGGCAGATGAATCCCATCCAATCAGCTGCCACCTTTGATTGCCAAGGTCGTTTGGGATATTTTTAGCTCTCGAATATTTGTATCAATGAAAATTTTTAACGATATATTTTTTTTCCTCAAAAATAGTTTCACCCCAAATCTTTGAAACGTTGTTAACTACCGCATTTATAAAAAAACTATAAAACAACAACACAAATAAAACAACACCCAAGAGACAATGTAATAATTATGATAAAAGCAGTTCAACAACTACAACGAAATAAATAAACTAACCACAAAACAAATACAACAACAAATCATAACAACAACAGCAACATTACCACCACCAACAACAAGCAAAATACTTAATCGCGACGCCACCATAGTTTGCAACTGTACCGGAAAGAGTACATCCTGCCAGTACAGTCCCACTGACAACATGGGAATATGTTCCGGTTGCATGTACAACAGCACCGGGAAGCAATGCGAACTTTGTATAGCTGGATACTACGTTAATCCCAATGGGAATATTACCACCATGAGTAGCAGAACAGTTCTGGATCAGATAGGTATCGATTACGAATACTTCCGAATGTCCGTTACGAATATTTTCAAATGTCGGTTACAAATATTTTGGAACACCGGTTACAAATACACTTACGGTTTCTTACGATTATTCTATAGTTTTTATTCTTCTAGATTGTAGGATTACAAAGAGTAATTTTTTTAGATAGAGCGAGTTTTTGAAACCGTTAAGAATTTTCTCTAAATTATCAAATGCAATTCTCAATTCATTCACTCCCATAGACTCGCATCATTCAATCAGATAATCATAATTTCCCGCTAAAACATTCTTACCATTTCATAAATTTTTTCCAGGTTTTGACGGCATAAGCACATTCAGTGAGGACCAGTTTTATTATTCTTCAACGATAAACTTATTTATTTTATGACGAAAAATTCTTTTTTTCTCCAACAACATATTTAATATTAGCAACAACAACAGTTATTATTATTATTATTATTATCATTATTAATATTATTATAAATTTTAAATAAATTTCATTTTAAATTCATTTTATTCTAATTCCTTCTTTTACCATCTGATTTCTTATTTTACTGTGTGGAAACAAAAGATAGTTTTCATCATCATCATTATTATTATTATATTATTATTATTGTTATTATTATTATTATTATATTATTATTTTGGTTTGATTATTATTAATAAATAATTTTCTACAGACTACAGTAGTACCGACGTATGCATTCGTTAGTAATTTTACTAAAATTTCTTTTACTTAAACAATATTACTAAATTACTAATAGATAACCAGCTGGAGACGTAAGATTATTATCACAAAGTAATATTTACTGATTGTACTTTACACTCAATTACAATAACTTCACACTCATTTACAATAACTTTACACTCATTTATAGTAACTTTACACTCAATTAAAAATACTAAACCACCATTAAAATTGCTGAAACTATCGATAATAATACTCTGAAATTTCTACAAAACGTTATGGGCGGCGCGGCGTGATAGTGTAGTGGCTAAATTGCCTGGCACTACTTTTGCAGAGACCGGTTTCAAATTCAAAGTGGTCCTTGCCATATTAGTGATGTGATACATTGATTTCACACGTGTTTAATCTTGTTACCTTTGAAAAAAATTATTAAAGAGAATAGTGAATAAAATTGATAATACCAAAAAATTACTACAGCATGTAGTTGCAGTCCTGTCGGTTCTATGATGATCAGCACACCGTGCAACGCCTCGACTGGTCAGTGCGTCTGCAAACAAAATGTCAAAGGTCAACATTGTGATACCTGTGTAGATGGATTTGTAGCCCTCGATGCGTCTAAACCCGATGGCTGCTCAAGTTAGTTTGGTGTTAAGTGTTTGGTTTTTTGTTACATTTTCCGTTCTGGTTGGTTGCATGGATTTATACTTTGTTTGTTGGAATTACATTGATGCTCAGAGTTCAACGTCTGTTTGGATTAGAAGATAGATATTTCAAAGTTTATACGTTGTTTGTGTTTGTGTGAGTCAATACAATTCTATTTAAAAACTATGGATCGTTGTGGAGTGAGTAACTCTATCGATGTTAAATACCAATCAAGGTAAATTCATGATTCATGATGAAAATATTCTTCTTATCAACGTTATCATCTTCATCGTCGTCGTCATCGTCTTCAGTTTTCATCATCATAGACGTCTACACCACCATATTAGCATTACAACATCACATTCATCTTCTGCATCATCGTCAAATTTGATAAGAATGTAACTGCTTGGACGCCGGTACGATCACATGTGACAAATCAAATGGGACTTGCGTCTGCAAGAACAACGTTCTTGGTGCTCAGTGCAACAGTTGCAAGGTTGCTTAGGCGGTTTTTAGTCAATCAATTAATTATTCAGTTCGATCAATCCGTCAACCATTCTATCGATTAATCAATTAACCAATTAATCAACATTCAATTAACTAACTAATTACGGTTGTTAGTTAATCATTCAAGTGTTGTTAACTAAGCAAAAAGTTTATTATTAAATAACACATCTATCTGTCAAAACTTAACAACGAACAGCCAACCAACCAACCAACCAACCAACCAAGCACCAACCAATCAACCAACCAACTAATCATCCAACCAACCAATCAACCAACCAATAAATCATCCAACCAAGCACCAACCAACCAACCAAAAACCAACCAACCAACCAAACACCAACCAACCAACCAACCAACCAACCAACCAACCGACCGACCAACCGACCAACCAACCATCCAACCAAGCACCAACCAATCAACCGACCAACCAATCAATCAGGACACGTACTATAACATGAGTGCTTCAAACACGGATGGTTGCACGTTTTGCGATTGTGATCCGGGTGCCTCGACGAATCGCACGTGCGACATCTTCAGTGGACAGTGCACGTGCAAGCAAGTACTCGTTTTATACCGATGTTGCTCCGAGTGGAAAGAGAGAGAGAGAGAGAAAGAGAGAGAGAGAGAGAGAGAGGAGAGGAGGAGAGGGCGAGACAGAGAAAGAGTTAAAAAAGAAAGTGAAAAATGAATGAAAATGTGTTGATAATCAAACAAAGTTATTACATAATTTGGAAATTTAATTATGAAATTATTTTGAAAAACAGAAGAGACACATTGGGAAGAGATTGCCGGCAGACGAACATCAACACTTTCGCGCCATATTTTGATTACGTCACACTAGAAGCTGAATACTCTACTAATGTTTCTGTAGGTCATGGTGATGATGATGATGTAGGTGATGATGGGTCACGGTGATGATGATGATGATATTATGAGCGATGATGGCGAAGATGTTGTAGGCAATGGTTATGATGATGATGATGATGATATTATAAGTGGTGATGTTGACGATGCGGAAGTTGTTAATGACTCGCCGCAATAATTATGACGTCAGAATATTTTTCGTTATAATAACAAAAATGTGGATATTTATATTATTATCAAACAAAAACAACAACGCCAACAAAAACAACAACATCATCATAGTAATAATCTTATCATCATCGACAACAACAACAACAAAATACAATAATAATAATAATAAAAATAATAATAATATAATATAATAATAATATTAATAATAATAATATAATAATAATATAATAATAATGATAATAATAAAGAGCCAGGACGTGGCGATCAGAGTGGGTGGGGGTGAGGTTGGTTCCACGTTCACGGGGCGGGGTTTCCTCAGCGTCATGCCACCAAAGTCCATCTACTTCGACGTCCAAGTACCATTTTCATCCAACTATCAAGTCGTTCTGCGATACGAGGTCTCGGAAATTTATATAATGCAAACTTACAAACAAATACACACACATACATATACATATATACAGACACACACTCTCACTCTCTCACACTCACTCACACACACACAAACACACACACACACAAACACACACTCTCACCTCAGAGCTCAAGTCAAATCAACTCCATCTCTGCCAACTTCACACTTCCGGTTGCAATTTCAAGTCTGCCCTCTGTCTCTCTCGGTCCGTGCCCCAACACAACGGCCCAATCACAAGTGGTCACTGGAAGTATCAATGCCATGCCGAAGTCTGGTTAGGTTTTTTTTGTAATTGTTGTAATGGAGCGCGCGGTAGTGTAACGATAAAGATGCCTGGCACTGGAGTGATTGGAATGCAGCAGAGATCCCTGCCTGTCACATGCAGAACCTCGGGTGGCTTTTTCATATATGCCGCTGTGTTTTTCTTGCCGATACCTCTGAAAATTTCTGAAGTATTCTTTCATTTTCAGGTTTTTCCATTTTAACAAGCGCCACGTCCATATGCCTCGTTGGAAAAACTGCCTACAGTCTGAAACTCGATATTCCCATCGGAACGAACTTTCTACTCGATTCGGTAAATTAAACCTAAAAAGTTAAATCACAGTAATTTTCATAATTTTTTTTCCTCCTCTTCATCACCGTGCTCTCCTCATCATCATCATCATCTCTTCCTCACTTCGTCGTCGTCACCATAACATTTCAGGTGGTGTTACTTCCATTCGTTGATAACTTGGCTTCATTTGCGATCAGCAACGAAACGGCACGCGCTCAGATGAAAGCCTGTCTGACCGAAGAACAGTCGGTCAATTATACCGCGCGAGACCAACTCGCCTGTGCGCCATACGAATATTCGGCTATGATCGATCTTAATTCCGGATCTTTCGGTGAGTAGTTTTTGTTGTTTCTATCGATTTTGTTGTTTTCGATGACGTCATAATTGTTGTTGTTGGCATTTTGAGTGTTGGGAGATGTGGCGGAAGTGAATGTCGTCGTTGTTATTTGTGGTAATACTTTTTTTACAGTTGTACATTGCCGACAATGATGAATAGATTACTCAGTTTTTATTAATTATACGTAAAATCTAAGCGTAGAAATCCTCAACATGCGAGGCTAGCAACACCAAACAACACACACCACACAACACCCCACTTCGTCATCAGCAACCACACGACAAAATTACTACCACCGCCACCACCACAACAGGCTGTTCATGCGATCCGATCGGCAGCTATAACAACTCCTGCCAGCAACGCGGCGGCCAGTGCTTCTGCAAACCAAACACATTGCTAAGAAACTGCAGCCAGTGCAAGGTCAACAGTTATGGGTTCGGGATCAACGGCTGTACAGGTAACCGTTTAAAGACGAGTAAATTCATATATTAAATAATTATATATAAAGAGAGAGATAGAGAAAAAGAGAGAGAAAAAGAGAAAAAATAAAAGAGATAAAAAAGAGAAAGAAAGAGAAAGCAAGGATGAGAACGATAAATATAGAATTTTTTCGGAATTTAAGAAGGTGTAGTGTATACTGTTGACACATACAAAAATTTATAAAAAGAATTATTAAAATAGTATTAATATTACAACAAAAACAACAACAACAACAACAACAACTACTACTACTACTACTACTACTACTACCTTTTACTACCACTACCATTACTACTACATACGCAAAGAATGTGGTTGCCATCCGAACGGCTCGGCAAGCATGCAGTGTGCCGAGGGTGGCAACTGCACCTGCAGACCAAACGTCATCGGTGGCAAGTGCAGCCAGTGCATTGATAAGAATTATGGTCTGGCTTCTGGTTTGTTTATTTACTTGAACTTTTATTTTATTTGTTGCATTTTTACCTTTAATTTCTAATATATTTGTGAAAAACTGGTCATTTGGTAATATTTTTATGAAGAAATTGTAACAGATTTAAATATGCAAAAACAGCAAGACAGAAAAAATTTAAATTAAAATTTTGATAGACGCACAGGGCGTAGAAATAATGTGTACACGCACCAAACATACGGACAGACTTACAAACATAAACATACAAACACATAGAAACATAAAAAATATAACATATTCCAGGGAACGGTTGCACACCATGCCAATGCGTAGGACTGTATGTTGTTAACGATACTTGCCTCGACGATGGGCAGTGCTTCTGTTTGCCTGGAGTTGGAGGTCTTCAGTGTACGACCTGTTTGAATGGGTGGGTGCACAATGTTGTGTACAATTTGTTGGTTGTGTGAATGGTTTAATCAATCAATCAATCAATCAATCAATCAATCAATCAATCAATCAACTAACCAATCTATTAAACCACCCAAAATTTAACAACTAATTGACCGACACACAAACTAATCAACCAATAACATGACCAGCTGATCATCTAGCCAATTAATCAATTAATCAAGCAACTAACCAACCATGCAATCTATCAATTAAACAGATACTTTGGACTTACGACATCAGGGTGTAGCAAATGTAGTTGCGACACTTACGGCAGCGTGAATGGTGGCTGTGACCCAGTTAGAGGAACATGCACATGCAAGATGAATGTGCAGCCAAGTGTCATTTGTAACACTTGTAGACCAGGTCAGATGGTGGTAAAGATGTTCATTATCACAAACGTCACAACGAGCATCATCATCACAACCAAACAACATCATCATCATCATCATTCTGATCATCATCATCAGGATATTTTGGCCTAGGACCGTACAGTGATGATGGCTGTTTGAAATGTTACTGCAGTGGTCAGTCTAATAACTGCACCTCGGCTTCTGGCTGGTTAGTTGTACTAATAGTACTCATGCTACTCTCTCTTTTTCTCTTTCTCTTTCTTTCTCTTCTCTCTTTCTCCTTTTTTCAGTTAAATAATAAATAAAAAAAATAAAAGATTAATAATTACTTATTTGCAACTGTAAAAAAAACTAAAAACAATTTTAATGCAGTAAAATACTGGAAACATTAATAAATTCATCTCTAACATCAACAAAAGTCATCAATAACATCAATAACATCAACAAAGTCATCAACAACGTCAGTATAAATTACAGCAACCGCAACAATAACATCAACAATATAATTTACATCGCCAGGTTTCAAACGGTATCCGAATCGAGATGGGACATAAATGTCGGCGATGTGTTCGGAGCAACGTGGACCGGATCCGACACCGACGGAAATCCCATCCCTATTGCTAAAGTAATCCTGATAACGAGTGCAGTGTCAGTAGCGTTTTATCAAAATAAGTTTTATTTTAAATTATTCAAAATATGCCGATAGATAACGAGTTGGTAACTTTTTTTTCATTGATTCTTACTCCTATATGAATTTTCATGTATGAATTCAAAATTACATTAAACATTTAGTATGATTATATCATCATTTTCTCCATCATTTTCAACTTCATCATCATCTTCACCATTATCATCATCATCTTCATCATCTTCACCATCATCTTCATCATCTTCACCATCATCTTCATCATCTTCACCATCATCTTCATTATCTTCACCATCATTTTCATCATCTTCACCATCATCATCTTCACCATCATCTTCACCATCGCCACAAAACCAAACAGCCAAGTGATGCAGATGACAAACAACGACTCCAGCACGACACCACTTTACTTCACCTCCCCCAACACGTGCACCGCAACTGTGGTCGCCACCGGTACCACATCCACCATCTGCTTCAACGGCAACAAGGCATCTTCATACGGACTCAACCTCGAATTCGGTCTCATCTTTAGTCCGTCGCAGAACGGCCAAAATTTTTCTTTCTCCTATTCCTCTGGAGATGTTGTGATAAAGTCTGGTGGTGCTGATCACTCACTCGTGGCTAATCTCCCGAATAATCCTGGTCCGAATTTGACTTCTTACGTGGTCAGTTTAAATTGTTTTGTTGTTTTGATCAATTATTCAAAACTATTTTCATATGCTAGCAACAACAAAAATGCTATAAACAAAATAAATATCCATCTTTCAGATAAAAATGGCCGAGTCTTCGTGGTTTAAGAATGCGGTCAGTTCAGGAATCAGGCCCTCCTACCAGGAGTTTATGCAGATCCTTTACAACGTGAAAAGTATCATGATTAGAGCCAAATTCTCAACGGTGAGTGAAATGATTTCGTTGTTAACGTTGTAGTCAACGAACATGTAGAAAGTAATCTTATGCATGAAAAACAAATTTCGTCAGTGGTGTTCGTTCAATGTGTTATACAAATTAGCGTTAATTTTTTGATAGTTTGAAAAATAGGCTAAATGGAAAAAAATGGATAATTGTTTGTTGAATAATTTGGTAAATAAAATCCGTAACCAAAAATTCTAAATAGGACGTCGGATCTGTGACGTCATTACAGTACGTTCGTCTGGGATATGCCATTCAAAGTGTTACCGGAAGTAACGTTCCAGCCACGAATGTGGAGATGTGCGTGTGTCCTCCTAACTACGAAGTAGCGATGGGTTCTTACTTATTTGTTTATTTTTTTTCCAATGCTCATTAGTTGAAACTTTTTCAATTCTAATCCACAATAAAAATACAAACACTGTCATTTAACTGAATGATTTTCAATGAAATTATAACAGTAATCAGAAAGACGAGTGTATTAGTTATAACAAAATCAAATTACTTTGAAGGATAAAATAATTAAAAAATAAAATTATTTGACTCCATCCTAACAATTGAACAGGGCAACCAATGCGAGAGGTGTTCAGCTGGCTTTACGAAGTCCACCATCACCAACAGCTTAAACAACCTGTGCCTTGCCTGCAACTGCAACAACCACCAATACCCGAACACGACCTGCGATGCTCTGACCGGCAAGTGCGTGTGCACCCATCATACTACAGGTGACCACTGCGAACTCTGCTCACCTGGCTACTATGGAGATGCCACACTCGGACAACCAGGTCAGAAAAAATAACTTCACATAACTAGACATTAAAAACAACGCTCAAAATAATTTGCTGTCAACCAACAACAAACCAACATTGAGACAAAACCAAAATGGATGCGAACAGACAGTTGCAAGCCGTGCATGTGTCCTGGAAACGTGAACGATATGAATGCATCGGCACTTGTCCACTCCAGTTTGCGGACCTGTAACACGACATCAGCCACAACGTACGTCTGCAACTGCGATCCCTCCTACATCGGCGACAAGTGCGACAAGTGTGCTGACGGTTACTACGGTACTCCTGATAACCCGAATGTACGTTTGCGTCTGCTTGCATGTTCGTTTGTGTTTTTTTTGTGCATGTTTGTGTACGTGTGGGATTGCGTGCGTGATGTTTGCGATAAAATGTTCGTCTGTCGTGTTTTTTTGTTATGTTTTTGTTATGTTTTTTTCTGTATAAACAATTACTTTTAATAAAAAAATTTCATGGCGTGTTTTGTGGAAAGCTGTCGTCGTCCGGTACGCACTAAGCGCTATATAAATGACAATTTATTATTGTTATTATTATAACAACTTGCAGATAAACGGAGGAAAGTGTCAGTGGTGTGACTGTAGCAACTACAACGACGGCTCTTGCGATTCCGTCACAGGCAACTGCACGAAATGCGACAAGTTTACGACGGGGGTCAAATGTCAACAGTGCATGCCCCTTTATTATTCACCCAACATCACCCTCTCGAAACAGTGCTATCGTTCGTTTGCTGTTGTTTTTTGTTGTTGTTGTTGTTTGGCTGTTTGTTGTTGTTGTTTGTTGTTGGTTGTTTGCTGTTGGCGTTTATTTAGCTAATGTTTTGAGACATTCAATTTATTTTTAGCGCATTCAGTTTAAGAAAAGTCACATTACTTGTAATATTTCATTTTAAAATCTCTGAAAAAAAGCAGAAAATAAAATTCAGCGTCACTTGAAAAGAACAAAACATCGGTAAAAATTTTACCCTCCTTATCTCCTGGACAGCCTGCCAATGCAACGGCGAGCAGTGCAACAACATGACAGGGGGGTGTAGTTGCAAGTCAGGGGTGGACACTAGCACGGGGTGTAAAACCTGCCTACCCGGATACTACAACCTCTCAGCCATTTCCGGTTGCGTTCCCTGTAACTGCGTGGGCATAGGTGTTGTTAGCGGATCTTTGTCTTGCTCGGTCGGTAGTTGTAGTTAGACGAATAGACGGTTGATTGGATGGATGATTGGATGGGCAGATTGAGGAATGAATAAATGAATGAATGGATGAATGGGTGGATGGATGGATGAATGGATGGACAAATAAACGAATGCTTTTAAAATGTCCATTTTTAGTTTTCTTTCACTTAATTTGTAAGTTCATTAAATTTATACACCAAAAATTTATTTCCAAATACTCATTTTTTTAAATCGGCATTTTTTTTCATAAAAATTATAATTATATTTGAAAAAAATAAATTTTTTTCCTAATTTAACCAAGGACAAAGGTGAATGCATGTGTCAGTCGAACTTCACTGGCTCCAGATGCGATCAATGTTCCACGCCTTATACGTACGGTGTCGGGTGCAACTGTTGGTCCCTCTTATAATTTTACTACTATTCATTTATAATGATTAATTTAATTACTATTAAATTAATTTAATAGTAATTTAATTTAATTACTATTAAATTAATTTTTAATGAAATAATAAAACGATAATATTTATTATAAGTGACAACTGATTTGAATGGTTCAAAATACGTGGTTTAATTTTTGCTTTGGATCATCTGCTTTTCTGTCTGCCCATATCATCATTCATCCATCCATCCTTCTGTTAATTTATTTATCTATCTATTCATTCATTCATTCATTCACTCATTCATCCATCCATCCATCCATCCATCCATCCATCTATCCATCCCTCCCTCCCTCCATCCATCCATCCCTCCATCCATCCATCCATCTATCCATCCATCCATCTATCAATCAATTCATCCACGCAGCTAATTGCTCATGCATGACCAGCTACACGATAAACGGAAACCAATCGTGTGACGTCACGTCCGGTCAGTGTTACTGCCTGGATGGTTACAGCGGCCGAGCGTGCGACGTCTGCAATGCCACAAGCGAAAGTATGTCAAGTGACGACCTGGTTTTTCGAACGCTGATTGGCTGGCTTACATAAATAATGAATTTATTTTTATTTCTTCTTGAAATCAATTTGTCTGAATTGCTTGGTATGAGAATAGTATTTTTCAATTTTTAAAGATTTAGTCGATAAAATATTTTAATAGATGAATGAATGTGTTTAATTTTTTAATTAATTTATTTAATATTTCGGCTTCGATTGATTTTTAACTTTTTTTTTTAAATCTTTGTTGGTAAATCTAGTTCCAGCGTATGCGAACATACATCCCGTTCAGACTCAAAGTATTTTTACGTGTTTTCGTGTTTTCCTTTTTTCCTTTATTGTTGTGTTGTTGCTAATGATGTCCCTACCCACTCACACACCCACACACGCACGCGCACACACACACACACGCACACGCTGACAGCTTCATATCCCAATTGCACAAACTGTGGTCCGTGTTTTAGAAGTTTGGCAGCAAGGGCCAGCGATTCGTACGACAACATGACTAGAAATGATCAAGCTGTCACTAGTCTCAAAATGACGTATTTTGGTTTGTATATCTTTTTTATGTGTGTGCTTTTGTTGGTTGTTTTGTTTGTTTTTTGTTTGTTTTTTTCAGGCGATTACTTATTTTTCTTCATATGAAATTAGTTGTTTCTTAAATGGTTAAAAATCTAAACCACGTCAACATACCTCGTTCACATACACACACACAAACGAACACAGAAACACAAACACACATCCAACACACATCCAACACACACACACACACACACACAAACGAACATATAAACACAAACACACATCCAACACACACACACACGCGCGCACACACACAGGGCCGCCGAGAGCCAAATCGGGCCCCAAGTTTGAATGCACGCCGGGCCCCTCATATATATATATATATATATATTATATATATATATATATATATATATAAATATATAAACAAATTTAGTTTAAAGAACGTTATATAAATAATAATAATAATAATAAATATATTTTTACGCAGACTACCTACAAACACGTAAAACCTACCAACTGTTTATTTCATACATTTATTTAGAGAAATGGTGATAAAATAAAAATTAAAAAAAAAACTAAAAACATGAAAAACATCTAAACCACGTTTAACATTAACATTATTTAACATTAGAAACCATTAATATGAACATTTGACGGTTGTGATTCACAAGTGAACTTTTCTACTTTTTTTATTAGCAAAGTCATCAACCTCATCATCAAAATTTAAAGATCTCGCTAAATCGTTTTCTAGTGCAAGCATTCCTAAACTTGTCAATCGTTCTTCGCTCATGGTGGATCGCAAAAAATTTTTTACTCTTGACAGAAGACTAAACGATCGCTCAGCTTCCGAAACCGTCACAGGCAGAGTGCAGAAGATTCTCAATGAAATTACCACATTTGGAAAAATATTTGTTAGGTTTTGGCTTGCCAAAGTGCTAAGAAGTGTTATTGGTTTCAAATTCATTGAAAAATTTCCTTTTTGAATTTTTTTCAAATCAATTATTTCTAAAAACAATTCTTCTCCGTCAACATCATTATTGTACTTTTTAGACAATGTTTTTACCTTTTCTTTGAGCTCTTCTTCGGTCATAGTTGAATATTTCCAAAGAAACTGAAAAATCTCATTTAAGCTGTTAGCAGCTTGGTACCTTCGTACTAGGTTTCCAATGACACTGTCAAGCAGCACAAAAAAGACTTTGATTTTAAAGTTTTCTTCAGGACAATGAATTTGCATTTGTGTGCATTTGTCAGCGAGCAGTTTAGCTTTCTTTCTTCTGTCAGGCAGTTCTTTATCAATATTAAGACATTCTGCAACAGCTTCGCATTCATTAAGTATATCAAACCATTTTGAGCGCAGAGTGCTAAGGTTTTCAATTAGTTGCCGCAGATTAACAACCTCTACGTCTAGGGTGGCTTGTCTGGCCTGCAGAATTTCATTCCATATGTTTATTTCACAGAGTACTTTTAACCATATCGATGCCATTAGTAGACACTCAAACGTGTTTAAATATCCTTCAATACCTTTAATTTCAGTTAATGTTTGTGGGGTGAGATGAAGTTGTTTTATAGCATTGAGAGCGGTTTTCAGTCCAGGTAAATGAGCTGCAAAAGGCCGTACACTCTCCACCCTTGCAGACCATCTTGTTTTTGAATGAGAATGTAGCGAAGATCCAATACACTTTTGAAGAATTTCCCACCTGTTATGCAATATGATAATCTAAGAATTTAAACAAACAAATTTGAAAATAATAATTTACCTTTGTGGGCTAGAGCTAAATATGTTATAACACTTTTGAACAATTCCAAAAAACGTAACAGCTTCTGCTGAAGATTGGGCCGCTTCTTCTCCACACAAATTCAGACTATGAGCTGCGCAAGGTGAATATACAGCTACCGGATTTTCAGTTAAAATTCTGCTTTGTACGCCTTTGTACACCCCACTCATATTTGATGCGTTGTCATACCTTAAAAATTAATACAATACAACTCTGTATATAAAACAACGTATAACAATATTTGGGTAGCTCCAATTAAAAATTATGTGTAAGCTAAAATATAATTTTTTGCTATATTGTTTTCACTTACCCCTGTCCTCTGCAATTTTCAAGTAAAAGATTGTGCTCTTTAAGCGTTGATTTGATTAAATCTGCAATTGCTTCTCCAGTTTTATTGCTGCAGTCGACAAATTTTAAAAATCTTTCGTTGATTTTGTAAACAGTTTCTTCCCCTTCACTGTAAGGAGTCACATATCTTAGGATAAACACGGTTTGTTCAACGTGTGATGAGTCTGGAGTTGAATCAACTATTGTAGAAAAGTATTTTGACTCATTAATTTCGTTCACGATTTTCTGAGTGACTTTTTGTGCACAACACACGATAAACTCATTTTGTATTTCCATGGAAAGGTAGTGAACTGGTAGCCGTTTTTTTTTTGCATTTGTGATTGTTTAACCTTTATCAAATGATCATTTAATATAGGGTCATAATGAGCTATAAGTTCTAGTATTCCCAAAAAATTTCCATTTCTAGGATTACCAACCAAATTCGAATCACCCCTTAAGGGCAGTCCTCTTTCAGCCAAAAACAAAATTACATGAAGAATCCTTTGTAAGATAGCTCTCCAACGAGTTTTTTCGTTTGTTATCATATCAGTAAGGTTAGTATCAATAGCTGGTTTATTCTTCAATAAGCATTTTTCTAAACTTCTCCACTCAAAATAGCACAATTTGTGGTTAAAACTATTTTCGTGCGGGTTGAGTTTATCGTGAATTCTCTTCCATGAGAGTTTGTTGCCACTAAATCCTTCTGGACATGTTAACATGGACCTATTTGGCAAAGGCAATTTACTAGATATGCGGCATGGAAAACAATAAATTGCATTTTTGATTTTACTCCATGCCAACCAATTTCTTTTGACCTCTTCTCCATTTTTCAATTTACAAACAAGCGCCGATGGAGGAAAAAAGTTCCCTTCAAAGTCTACTGGAAAGTTTTTAGGCAAGGTTGGTGGACCGTTAAGGACGGCTTCATGAACGTCTTTGGTTTGAAGAAATGTGTTTTCTTCTTTTCCTATATCGTACACTGAAAGTGTTGATTTGTTGCAGTTGTTGGCCGCAGATGAGTTTTCACCTTCGTCAACATCAAGCGTTACAATTTCAGGAGAAATAACGGTAAGAGATTCTTCCACCAATGTAGTATTTTCAATTTTTTCAGGTTCAGATTCGTTGTGAAAATTGGAACTTGATCGATTAATCATAAAAAAACTGTCACATGTTTTTTGGTTTTTTCTTGCTAACGTTTCTCGTTTTTCTTTTTCCTTTCTTTTTGAAGCACCTGATTTATGCTGATAGCTCATTTCTCTGATTCACTCTTGTTTTGAGGCAACAGTTAAAGAACGCTACACTGAAAAACAAACAAATTAAATAAACGATTGACATCACCATGACAACACCGAAAAAACCGACTTTACCATGGAGATGGGCTTACATTTAATACGCAATTGCATGTGTAATTTTTATGTTAATAATTTATATTAGTTTTTCTTAAAAATGTTGACATAATCCTAATCCACTTTTGCAATTAAGTTCAGCTTTATATATTTAGCGTATTCTGGAAAAATTAATGTTATATCGCAATTTTAATCTCGGTCGGTTCACTTTTACAGACAATACAATATGCTGATTTGTATCGTCTGTTGTACGTCACATTGCATAGTAAATTTTAATAAATTAAATGATCACTCTTTTATGTGAATGTAGAAAATGATTATGAACATTCGGAAAAATTCATATTTTTGTGCAATACATTCAGACAAAATTAATTTCTCACTGAAGTGATATTTCGCGTCTAAGTAATTTTTTCGAATCTTTGAAACCACTTTTTTTCAAAAAATTGGATAGAAAAAATCATTTTAGGGCCCGTCCCGGGCCCCCTTGAGGGCCCGGGCCCCAAGTTTTAGACTTGGCTGACATACCCTCTCGGCGGCCCTGCACACACACAACAAAAACACCACCAGATTCGATGACGTACAACTCAACAAGTGACCGAGTAAATGGCCTACTAGCATCACTCGATCCGATGAATTCGACCATCCTACAGATCAACAGCCTCGTCGTCGACTTTAACAACACTGATTACTTTAATGTGCGGTTTATACTGCTGATTTTGTTGTTGTGTATTTTGTAACATCTCCTCATTCAATTGTTTAGTTACTGATGTTGCTCTGGCTTTTGGGTATTTTTTTCACTTTTGTATCGGTTTCTTTTCATGTTATGGCAAATTTTTTAACAACAAACAGTCAAAGTAATTTAATCACACAAACTTATTAACACGCACACATTCCTTCACACGCACACGCACGCACACACACACACATTTAATACACACCACACACACACACACACAAAGATACACAACCACACTTATATACTCATTCACAAACACACACACAGATACACTACCTAGCACAAACACACACACACATTCAAACAACGACTCAGATACCTGAGCGATTAATCGACTACGAATTGAAACTGAACAACTACCAGCAACTCACCGAAAACTACACAGCTTCACTTAGCGTCATAAAGTCTATAGACGTGACCACCCTGGCCACCAATATCGGTGATTACCCATACATCTCTATGCCTGCTACCAACTCAACCCTCGTTGGTTTGATCGCGAATGAATCCCTGATCTTCAAAATCGGCGAAGATGCATTCAATTCTTTAAACAACTACAACACCTTTGTCAAGAGCACTGATGATGTTTTGAATGGTTTCAGAGGAAGAGTGGGGTTAGTTTTGCTTTATTTGGTATATATGTATGTATGTGTGAGTGTGTGTGTGTATGTGTGAGTGCGTGCCATCATCACATCGTCACATCATCATATTTTTCATTTTGTTTAACAGAGCAGCCAACCAATCCATGCTATCTTCGGAGAACCAGCTGAACATCATCGATCCACAATTGAAATCCATCAGCCTTCCCTACATCAACAACATAATCATCAACGATATTGCCAGGCAGAAAGCTGTAACAGATGCTGTCCTGGTTCTTGCTGATGACCTCTTTACTACCAAGTAAGCAGTTGGTTGGTTGGCTGGTTGGTTGGCTGGTTGGTTAGTTGTTTGGTTGGTTGGTTGGTTGGTTGGTTGTCGTCTAGTACTAGCTCCGCTTCATTAGCATGTAAATTGCCATACCAATATTAAAAGTCCTGCCAAGTCTTTCTTCCTGGCTTCTCTACTCTCATGCGTCTCATCAATGGCAGCTTTTCATATCGCTTACCATCAACATGGAACAGTTTGCCACTCATCACCAGCCAACAATCATCAACTGATGTGTCCATGAAACAACATCCGTTCGAGCTGGCCTTGGTGGATTTATCGGGCGCCTCTGACGCTATGCATAGGACGCTGCACAAATGACATTATTATTATTAAATTATTAAATATTATTCTTATTGAATCTAATAATCTTCCCGCAAAACCTCAACAGCTTCTACGTCAACGCCTCAAAAAAACTTGTGGAAGATGGAGCTAAGTACGTGAGTGAACTCAGAGACAAGTATAACCTCAAAATTCAGGTCTTTAGTCCGACCGGAAATAGAACGACAGCTGCTAATAGCGCAAAAACTCAGGCGCAGACAATATCAACGAACGTGGATGCTTATTGCGTTAGTTGGTCGTAAGAATTATGAAAATGTAATTACACGTGTGTATTTTTTTCATCCTTCAATACATACATATAAAGATTCAAATATCAAATTTAATGACGTGTATTTTGTGTATTCACACATCCGATTCAACACACACGCAGGCCAAAATATCATCTCTCAAAAACACGATATCCGCGAACATGATGAATCTATCGAGTGTGAAACTGCAGATGGACAAGCCACTACTGACGCAAAATAATTCGCTGCTGGACGGCATCATAACTCGAAATATAGACACCTATGTCTCGCAGGTTGTCATCTTCTTCATCGTTTCATCATCTATTCATCTTCATCATCATCTCTTTTCATCATCGTCGTCATCGTCCACATCATCATCATCGTCGTCATCCTCCTCCTCATCATCATCATCAGGTGGCGGCTTCAGTGAACACAATATTAAGCATCACCCCATCAGCGGATGCGGTGAACAACGTGGCGAGGACTGCCGATTCGAGCGCCAGCATCGCCGCCACTCTTTCTTCGTCCATCAATTCCGCTGTGTTCGTTTCAAAAAAAAATTTTTTTTTAATCCTGTCGATATTTTGTTTCATTATTATTTCAATTTACATTTGTGCTTTTGTATTAAAGTTTAAATAATTTATTTAGATTGTTCAACATTTGATTTAAAAGTAATACACTCCTACACACACACTCACACACCTATGCACACACGCACACACACACACACGCACGCACACACACACACACACACACACGCTTGATTTCAGAAATGTATCTCAGCAATCGAAGACCAAAGTAGAGGCCCTACAGAACAGTCTGACGGCACTAACGGATAAAGAACGACTGACCACAATGTGCCTCAACGATGTTAAGAGAATCACCGATAGTATCAACGCTGCTATCTTGACGGTCTGTTTCAAATTGAGTTGTTTTTATTATTTTTAAACATAATTTCTGTATAAGTTTTATCAAATTTTCCTGTAAATTCGTAATAGTGTATCATCCATCCATCCATCCATCCATCCATCCATCCATCTATCCATCCATCCATCTATCCATCCATCCATCTATTCATCTATCCATCCATCCATCCATCCATCCATCCACCCACTAATCAGGTGAACACGAAGGCGAACAGCACAGCCCTGTCGGCACAGCTGACTAAAGACAACCTCACACTGACATCCAACACGACGAATCCGGTAAAGCAAACCTTCCAGAACCTCTCCACTAGCACGGATAATTCCCTAAGATCCCTGGACCTCACCCAGGATCAAATCACGGCTCTTCTCAACGTTGTTTTATTATTATTATTATCATCATCATCATCAATACTGTTATTATTATTATTATTATTACTATTATTTGTAATATAAATAACAATTCTATCATTACTAGCTTTATATTTTTATTATAAATCATAAATGATATTAATTAAATATGTTTTTAATTATAAAATGATAAAATTATTTATTTTTTTTATCATATAGGGCCAAAACAAGAACACGCAAACACTGGCTGACGTGAATAACAGGCTTTATACAAAAAAATCAGACTTTGACAGGTTTTCTTCGCTAAAAAATGATGTCAAACTATGCATCAACGATCTCTGGAGTTCAGTCACTGCCCTCAATAATCCTATCAACTTAGATGGTATGATTGGTTGGTTGATTGATTGGTTGAGTGGTTGGTTGTTTGGTAGATTGATTTGTTGGTTGGTTATTTTTTTGGTTTGTTGATTGATTGGTTGGTTGAGTGGGTGAATGGGTGGTTGGTTAGCTGTTTGGTAGATTGATTAGTTGGCGGGTTGGTTGGTTGGTTGGTTGGTTGTTTGATTGGTTGGTTGGTTGGTTGATTGGTTGGCTGGTTGATTCCAATTGATTACAAAATTTAAATTAATAAAAAAAAACAAATAATTATAAAATAATTGCATAAGTAAAAAACAAAAATATGCCCAAGTTTACTAACAACACACACACACACACACTGACGCAGACTTGATAAAGCAAACTTCCTCCCAAACTGACCAAATCAACCAACTGACCCTGGATATTGCAAACATCGAGAAAGAAATTAATGACCTGCTGACTACTGCAAACAAACTTCTTCCAGATGCCGTTGTTTGCAGTGCTGGAGTGTGATCTGGTTGGCTGGTTAATTGATTGATTGATTTGTTGATTGATTGATTGGTTGATTGATTGGTTGATTGATTGGTTGATTGATTGGTTGATTGATTGATTGGTTGGTTGATTGGTTGGTTGATTGGTTGGTTGATTGATTGATTAATTGGCTGATCGTACGTTTGACATGTTATTTCTAAAAACAATATTCCTTTGTTGTCATTACTTGAATGGGATTTGTGATTTGATCAATTTATTGGCTTGTTGAATGATTGATAATTTGTCTAATTTGAACAATGATTGGTTGGTGTGTTGGTCAAATCATTTATTGATTGGTTGGTTGGTATGTTAGTAAATTTGGTCGTTCATTGTTCGGCGAAACAACCAAATTATTCTATGATTGGCCAGTGGTTAACAGGCCCATTTCTTTGATTGGTCGGAAACAACACTCATAAATTTTTTAATTAACTAATTTACTTAATTAATTAGTTAATTAATTTTTTTCAATCTAAACCTAAAACGATATTTGAATGATGTTTCTTTGATTTATATTTTCATGTTATTCTAACTTTTTAAATTTTGTTTAATTGTTGACATTTTTTTAATCTCTTTCATCTGCGGGGTGCATATTTGCCATTGAGTTAAGTTAAGATTCAACTGTATATAATTATTGTACAATGTATAATTTTTATTAACAAACATTTTTATTTTGCCATAATTTTTCTAATATAATTTAAGAACGCAAGACTATTTACGTTGTGAGAATAAATCATATGTACGAAAACTAATGTGAGAAAATAAATTTTTGATAAATGCCACGTAAACTTGTTATTGATGAAAATTTCTGGCTTAATGAGGAAACAAAACGACATGCGGGAAACAAAACAAAAACCAACAAAACAATACAAAAGCAATATAAAATACAAAAAATACCATCCAATACAAGTAGACACAACATACCGATACAATATACAATACCACTACCAAAATAAACATCACTCTAACTAAAAACCAGTCAACAAAGAAATCAAATTTATTTATAAAATAAAGAATTTCGGTTCGCAGGAACTAATTCAAACTGACGGAACTGAAAAACAAATGCATTTACATGTGTGTGTGTGTGTGTGTTTGTGTGTGTGTGTATGTTGTGTGTATGTGTGCGTTGTGTGTGTGTTTGTGCGTGCAAAAACCAACTTGAAACATATTAAAAAAAAGCAACTTAATAATGCCAAGCTATTTGTTAACAAACAAATTAAAATAAGCGAACAAACGAGTGAATGATGACTTGATTGATATTAAACTATCGGCCGTTAACGTAAGGTCCCATTGACATGTGTTGGTTGGATGTACATTTAAGAAAAATATCATACGAATTAATTCTCGATTGTTTTTCAATTTATATATGCAAGTCTAGCGCTGAACTTTCCAAAAATGTTTCTCATAGAATGATGTATATATATAAATATATGTATCAAAAGTGCAGTAAGTCATGTAAATAGATACAAAGTATACATTTTGTATATAATGCGCACGAATACTTAAACAATCTTTTCAATTAGGACATCTAACTAAATATTAAATAAAATATAATTTGTTTAAATTAAATATCAGCGGTTTGGTTTTGTTGTTGCTGTTGTTGTGTTTGTAGTTGAAGTTGCTGCTGTTGCAGATTCATCAAAGACTCATAGCTGTAATTCTCGCAGTCCTCGTCATCTTCATTGATCTCCAGTTCGTTTATGTTGATCTCATCAAACAGATCGATGTCAACATCGCTTACGGGTTCGACGACAAAATAATCCTCATCGCTCGCCATCCCGGGTCGGTAGTTATCGTATTCGGATTCGATAGCCGAACTCGATTCGAAACTCAAGGCAGGATCGGATCGGGACATCTCGCTGTTGAAACTCGATAAACTTAAGTTATCAGAAACAATGGATGTTGAGAAGAGCAGGAGAGGTTTGTGTTTTTGTCGTATTCGTTTGTTCAATGCTTTACCGACGTTCAGTAGTCCCGAGTTGTTGCTACCGGAACTTCCCAAGAATCGGTTTTGATATTCGCCACTTGATGAACCGGCTTCCCCTAACAAGGCAATGTTGCGTCGATTTGAAGCTCTGTGCAACATTTTGGGGCTTGAATTTTTTAGAGAAGAACATGAATCGTTGCCTCCTTCGTGAAAGAGATGGGCTACTCGGTCGAGACTCTTGCTCCGAGCCAGTGAGCCGACAGAATCCATGTGATTCAATCCGCGACTGTAATGATGGTGCAAGTTTTTGTTGTGCAGTCGCTGGCCATGAGAAGTCGGTAGTATCAATTTATTGAATAACTTGGAAGTGTTGGGCGTGTGGCCCAGAATCGGTTGCGTATGTGACGTCGGCAGCGTAGATTTGAGCGATTGTTGTGGCGTCCGTGTTTGCATCTTTGATTGTACGGTAGAGACGAGTAATGATTTAGCGAGGGAAGGGTTGTTTGTGTTGTGAGACATAACATGCGGCTTTGTGAATGCTTTGTAATTGGTGTTGTTTGTGTTGTCGTTGCTGGCGGAGCCTGTGGAAGCGGGTAGGCTGTCGACGTCAATGTGGCTGTTGTTGAGGATGTCGTTATTGCTGATGTTTTTGTCGTTGTTTTTGCTTTTGTTGCTGAAAGAATTTGTTGTTCTAACAGGAATGAAAGCTGATGTTGTTTGGTTTGTTTTCGTTTGGTTATTGTTGTTATTCATGACTTCTTTCCTACTAAACAACTCCCCAGCCATTTTGTTACTAGCGTCTGGGTGAGTGTTTCGGTTGACTCTCACTTTTCTTTCATGGGTCTGATTTTTAGCTGCCCCAAAACTTAATTTTGTGCTGTTGTTTGTTTTTGCGGATGACTTGACCGACGGAGCATTCGCGAATACCGATCGAACCGACGTATGCAACATTTTGCTCGACTGGTTGTGTGACGTAGAATTCGCTGATATCGGTAGTGTCGGTCGGTCCGCAAGTTGTTTCGAATATAAGATGCCCCCCTCAAATTCAAACAAAGAATCTTCCTCCGTCGAAGTCTCCAGGTTCGAAGTCCCATCAATATCGGATAAGCCGGAATTTAGCGAGTTGTTGTCGTTGTTGTTGTTCGTGCAGGTGTTGGTAGTAATGGGATTGTTGCTGCTGATGATGTTGCCGCCACTTTCATTCCTGTTGCTAACTTGACTCGGAGTTTTAATTTTTTTAATCGGTGGTTTGTTGCTCACGGTTTTCGAAATGGGATTCTGATCATCGCTATTACTTACTTTGTGATTAACATGTGCGTGTTTCTTGTTTGACTGCAGTTGAGTTGCCTCCATATTTTGGGATTCTTTCACATTCAAGTGAGATTTATTGGATGGGTGCAAATAATATTCATCTGTTAACGGTTGTTTTTTATTGTTGTTTTGATCGCTTAAGTTGTTTTTAATGTAATTGGTTTTCTTGTCAATGTCATTTGAATTCAACAATTTATCGTCACCATCATTTTTAGCTAAAATTTTTGAACCGTAAGCAAAATTTGATTTAGAAGATTTTTCATTTGAGGACATGAAAGCGATGAGCTGTTTGTAGTCAGATCGGTACGGGTGGTTGATGGCGAGACTTTCAACATTTTTTGCCTCACTGCTCTTGTCATAATCTTCTTTAGTAGTTGAAGCAAAAGCCGAAGAATGCCTGAATGCAGATTGTAACTCATTGAAAGAAGGGTTGAGTTGGAATACATTCGAAGATGCGGACGAGTCTAAAGATAATCGCTGACCGTTCGATAGGTTTGTTAAATCGGATGTTGATGACACCGACGAGTTCTGCCTGATTATTGTCGCTTTTACAAAAACTTGTTGTTGAATTTGTTGTTGCAACTGTTGATGTTGTTGTTGCTGCTTGTTTTGATGTTGTTGTTGATTGCGTTCATTTTGCTGTATGACACTGATTTGCCTTGTGATATCATCTAGCTTTTTGTTGCTGTTGCTATTGTTGCTGTTGTTGTTTGTATTATTTAAACTGTTAGTAACATCGTTGTCACCAAAGTTATTGTTGATGTTTGATTCGTAGGAGCTATTTGGATCATAAACATTCATCCTATTTACAACGGAGTCATTGTTTCTGTTGCATCCTTTAATAATGACGTCATCAATGACGTCAAAATCATCATTATTTCTGCTGCTGTTTTTGTTGTTTTGACCCCAAGGAGATGCTGGAAAACTCTCCTCACATTCCGTTGAAAAATCGCTCTCTGCAATCCGGTTGATGGCTTTGAAGTTTACTGTTGGTTTGGAGAATTCGTTGATGATTTTGATATTGCTTATGATGTGTGAATGTCGTATTGGTGGTTGCTGCTGCTGTGGTTGCTGTGGCTGCTGCTGGAGGTGTGTTTGGGATTTGAATTGTTGTTGGTGTTGACTCAATAGTTGTTGTGGTTGTGCTCTGAATTGTTGTTGTTGGTGTTGTGGCTGTTGTTGTTGTTGTTGTTGAGTTATCAACTGTTGTGAGCTATCTTGTTTGCTAGACTCTTGCTTAAGTTGTTGATTGTGTTGTTGATGTTGTTGTTGGTGGCGGTTTAATTGTTGAAAATTGACTGGCAGTTTGACGAAGCTGTTGTTTTTATTGTTGTTCGTGTTATCTAACGTGTTGTTGTTAAAATTAATAACGTCAACATCGTTCATGTTGTTGATGTTGTTGTAATAGTTATTTGAATGCGAGAAACTTCTACTGATATTATTTTTGTTGTTGTTTCTATTGTTCATATTATTAATTATATTCATGCCGCTGATATTGTTAGCGTTATAATCATTATTATTACTTAAAAATTTATGGAAATGAGCATTTTCGTCGATATATCGGTCGAATCCGTATTCGTCGATGTCGTCGATAATCGTAGCATCGCTCGGACCGACTCGGTTTTTATTGAGTAATAAGAAGGCCACTTTTTCCTTGGTGCTGTTCAATTTGATGGAACCTCTGCATTGGAAGTCGTAGTGGTCTGACAGCGGCTGTCTCACGGCTTCCGACATCTTGGACGTTATTTTTTGGTATTTGTTTTTAATTAATTTGAAATAATTACAAGATTTATGGATAATTGTAATATATTTATTAAAAATATTTGTTATTTTAATAATAAAAATTTTAATAATTACTAAATTAAACTGTAAAAAAAAACTAACCTGTATAAACCCCGGCAAACTTGTCGAGTCTAACTTGCAGGCTGCATTGACACACTCACCAAAAATTTCAAATTGTGGTCTTTTACCCCCAACCACCCCCGTTAAGACAGACCCCATGTCTATCCCTGAATATTTTAAGAAGAAAATTTTAATGATAACAATGGCGACAATTTGCTAAAAAATTCAGTAGTTGCTGAAGTTAGTTTGAACTATCTTAGTTAAACAATTGAGAATTCTCTTTAATAAGTAAGTATTGGTAGTAATGATAGTATTAGCAGTAGCGATAGTAGTAGTAGTAGTAAAGGTAGCGATTGTTGCGGTAGTAGTAGTAGTAGGTAGTAGTAGTAGTAGTAGTAGTAGTAATAGTAGTAGTAGTAATTTTCCTAACCGGCTCTGAAAATTAATTTGTTTCTTGCAGTTTGCATGAGTGTTTCCTTCATTTTCATCAGCATCTCAACCAGCAGGGTTAGGTGTTGCTTTCTGTTGTCTTTGTTTTCCTACGTCATGATCGTCGTCGTTGTCATCATCATGATCGTCATAATCATCATAAACGTCATAATCATCATCATTATCAACATCATCATCGTCGTCGTCATCATTTTTTCTGACAAAAAAAAACCTCAATTTTGTTGTTTGGTTTCAACCCAGCAACGACGATGTAGTGAGGGCCGCAGGACTTCAACTTGTCCATAGACATGAATTTCGGTTCTTGTAGTACCTTTGTTTGTTTGTTTTGTTTGTTTTGTTTGTTTGTTTATCTGTCTGTCAGTCTATTTCTAAGTGTGTTTCGATTGTTTGTTTGCATGTATGTGTGTGTTGTTCGCTAACAGCAAGCAACAGTAACGAAAAAAAATCTGACACACCCTATCAAAAGCTGTTATGACTTCATTCAATAACTTGATACTTTCACCTAACTTGCTCTGACCCGGCAAGTCGGTATATGCTGTTGTCGGTATGTCGGACACCGATATACTGGCTACGGCGACGTTTGAGTAGCTCTGACTGTAAAAGTCCTTTAAAAGGTGAAAATAAAAAAATGTTTTGGCGTTAAAAAAATAGGTAAAGATAACAGGAAATCAAATCTCAGATAAATTTTTTCAAATTTTCTTTAAGTGTTACTCAGTAGTATTAGCAACAAAGAGAAAGTGCTTGTAAATCAATAAAAATTTTTGCAACTGTGCTATAGATTGGGGTTTCTTTGCACTCGAACATGATCACTACAAAAACGCTGCTAGGCATCTTAAGCAAATAACAGGGCATGAGAGTAAATTATTTGTTTGATTACAACCGCCCATAACTTGAATTGCTAATATAATTGATAATAATTTAAGTAATATCGCGTAGTTTTTCTAACAATAATCTTATCTTCCGGAACATTATCATAGTGAGGAAGGACGTGATCTGGGAGGAGGTTGGCGAAGAGATCCTGGTTGATGTTTTCCAATAGGGATAATTCGGATTTTTGTTGACGTACCTTAAGGTTTTTTGTTTTTGTTGGTTATTTTAGTATTTTGCTATTCGTTCATTCATCCTTCTGTTGATTAATTAATTTGTTTGTTTGTTTATTAATTCGCTCGTTCATTCATTTGTTGATTTTTGTTTATTCATTTCTTTATTAATTCGTTCGTTTATCTACCCACTTAATCATTCATTTCTTAATTCATTAATTCATTCTTTCAATCATGGTTTTTATGATGAATAAACATTGTGATTGCGAATAGCCACATCTTGGTAAGATTTGACGCGTCTTTTGACATCTTCATCATATACTTACTTTTAAAAAATTACACTGCTTCTACTACTATCACCATGACTACTACTACTACTACTACTGCTGCTGCTGCTGCTACTATTACTTCTACTACTACTTCTACCACTACTATAACTACTCTTTATTTTTTTTTCAAAAAAAAAGAAGTTAAAAATAAATTAAAGTCAGATGTTTTTAGATTTTCATAATGGTGTACAAAGGGTTACAACAAATATATGATGATTACGTAGAGAATATATAGGAAAAAATAAATAATTAAATTAAAAGTATTTATTTAATAAATTAATTAATTAAACAATATTTATATGTTCACGTACACCCACACACACAACTTGAACTGTTTATTTTATTTTATACACACGCGCGTACGTTCAAATAATATCACATGAAACTTCAAATTTTGTTAAAATGAATAAAACTTCAAAATGAATGAAATTGCAAGCAAATAAAAAAAATCTAACAAGGTAATAAATACACCTCGGAAATAAAATAAAGCTACTTAATACCAAATCTAATAGAAGTTCATTTAAAATTTAATAATTAACATAGGATGATTAATTGAGAATGCTTCTTTCTGATTTAAAAAAAATTGTGTAATAATTAATTAAGCTGTAGCTGATAATCCATTTATAGTTATATTTATTATTGCGATAATTAATTAATTAATTAATTAATTAGTTAAAACAATTTAATTCTCAATAAAAGAGGTTTCGTTATTGAAAGTCGTAGAGCTGCGTTCCTTCGGCATAGCACGAAGCAGCTTCTTCCAAAATGATTCATCGTCCATTGAGGTGAAACTCAGGTAAGTGTACGTGCGTATGTAAATTTCTAATTCTACTGGGATATTTGTGCTTTGCAAATGAACACCACAGAATATCACAATGAATCTACGTTTGTCTTCTACTAAAGAGAAGGCTGACATTGTACCTGAAATGCACCAGTTATCTTTCAGAAAATCTTTTGAAACGATGAATATGATGCGTTTCGATGTCGTCAAAGCCTCGTTAATATTGACCACTTTTGGCTTGCTATCAAAATCTCTTAAGCCACAAATCGTCGAAAATCTATGTTCGTTCTCCAACCAGCGGATTATTTCTTTAACCAAAGGCACTTGTTCTTCATCTGAGCAAAATATGAAGACGTCGTTTGTTAATTTTGGGTTTGGGGGGACTGGGGGGTCTTTAGTTTTCTGAGGTCCGAACCTCAGTCGATACCAGACGTATGTTACTGCCACAATGAGGACGACAATTCCAACCGTCACGCAAGAAATGATGGCCGCGTTGGAAGGCGGGGAGTAACAGAAATCAACTTCGAAGAGACTTTTCGACTCGTGCCATTCTGGGTAGGCGCAGACCATTTTTTCTGGCTTGACGACGTGAACATGTGACTTCAGCCAATCGAGCATCCAGGCATTTTGACAGGTACATGACCAAGGATTGCCATGCAGAGTAACCCTTTTTGATGTTATGTTCATTTTCTCCAAAATTCTTGGCAAATACGATAAATTATTATTGTGCAAAAACACACTATCTTCCACTTGGATCAACTGTACCCAGGTATGCGGAGATATTTCGTTTATTTTATTCTCACTCAAATCTAAAATTTTTGTATCATTAAAAACATGTTCGCTTAAATTAAAACTTGTGAGCAGGTTTTTATTGAAATATAAATCATATTTTAGATGAAAATCAGAAAATGGAGTCAGTGGAATGAGCGAAGGTAGATCGCCAGGAGGGATGCTCTCGTATGCCGCATTGCTACAACTGACTACAACCGAACGTGTGTGCGGCTTTTGTTTGCAGCTGCAATTTTCAGGGCATAGATGTTTTATTTCGCATTCCATTTCGTTCATTGGAATACTGACGAGTCTAATACGGTTGCTCATGCATGATTTGTCGTCTAAAAAATTGCTTTTGCTCGCTATAACTGCTCTGATGATACTGTAATCAACACAGTCGCATGCATAAGAGCCAGCCGTGTCGAGAAAGTTTAAAGGTGTATTCGAACATATGACCTTCGATATATCATCTGTCCAGTTGACGAATATTTCGCTCAAGTGTTTAATGCTGTTTTTTCGCAAGTCAATGTAGTTTCTCTGTTTGTCCTTACAATTGAATGAAAAGTTTACATCATTTGTGAAAAATTGTATCAAATTATATCGTAGATCAATACTTATTTTGTTGACACTCCTCATCATTAAAGGCCATGGACCTAAAGTTGTCAATTTGTTTTTCGATAAACTAATGCTCGACACTCGTTTAAAAGCATTTGTGCTGATAAAAACGTCGACGTCGATATGACGAATGAAGTTAAGCGACAGATTCAGAGACACGATGTTCACCAGTCCGTCAAACGCCTGACTCTTCAGATGTTCCAGCTCGTTGCAAACGATGTCTAACTTTAATAACTTGTCAAAATATTTGAAGCAATCTCGCGGAATGTCCGTGATATTATTATAACTGATATCCAGCTCCTTTAGATGTGTGAGTTTGCATATGTAAGACCACATAAGAGGAAAAAATGAACCAGATATCTTTAAATTATCTACTTTCGAAAACTTGTCTAAGTTCTCTTTTATTATTTTATCGCTCTTCAAATTACTACAAACGGCATTATTATCAAGAAACTGACAGGCGGAATTAACAATTTTTAAATACGTTATAAGAATAAAATATATCGCAGCTATCAATATCTTAAAATTCATTTTCATAACAATGTTTCATAAGTTAAGATCCTCATAAACAACATAAAATTCAGTATGCTAATGTTTGAACAGAACTTAAACAACAAATAAAATAAGCTCGCTGACAACAACAACGCTTATTTTATGCCATTTATGTAGTTTTATTAACAGCTCACAGGTAAGGCAATTGTTTTCTAAAATGATAATATGGGAAATACGCACGGCGAAACTTGCAAGCGTACAAATTAACATGGGATATCAGTGAAAGGTGAGTGAGACAATTAATAATTGGGACTGAATCGAGGAACAATGTGTTTAATGTGCTTAAAATTCGTAATCTTAAGTTCTATTCAACGCGATATTTTCAATTTAACTTTCAATTTAAAAAATTCTACACAATCCGTTTATGAAATTTTCTTTAAGACATTCTTTAAACATTGTTCATACCGTTCATTTGCTAACAAAAGCTAACTCTGAAAAGTCTTTACATCAATTTTTTTAATTCTTAAGAAAATTATTGAAAAAATCCACTACAATTTATATAGCCTTTTTACATTTTAACATTAAATGTTATAAGCTTCATAGTTTTTTCCAAATTGAAGTTAACAGGCGATCAAATGCATGGAACAATCTGGATTAAGTTATCCAACCATGACTTCTCATCTACTTAGGGATGATAGTCCATACACAACGTCATAACGAATTGAAAAAAATTTAATATTTTTAATTTTAAATCGTGTATTAATTAATAAAAAGTGGATGCCAATGGTGGTTTCAGTATTATTTGTTAAATGTTTGTGTAACGTGAAGAGAATTCGGGAGCATCTGGCATTGCGTACAAAAGATGTTTCCAAAATAGTTCATCATCAAGAGAATTAAGTTTTAACGTGATGTATGATCTGTGACATCTTTTAATTTGTTCTGGCATGTAAGATTCATCACGAGTTACTCCATTTAAAAATGTAACCAACAACCTCCTTCTCTTTTTAACGTGGTTGAATGCGATATTTATTTCTTCACGACACCAAAAGCTTTCACAAAATTTTTTTGTAACGACAAATATGATACGTTTACTGTTCTTAATAGCCTGGACAATGCTTTCTATAATCGGGTAACCTGGTGGAAAATCTCTAGAATGGTACAAAACGTTGAATTTGTACTGTTCCGTGAGACGTTTTAGCAGGCCGATGCTTATGCTGGAGTCGTGTTCCGAGCTGCAGATGAAGACGTCGTATATTTTACATTCATTTCTGCAATCGTCGCTTTCCACTCGCATGCCGATTCGGTGATAAATTATTACTCCGAGTTTTTCTCTGTAACTCCACAGTATGTAGAGATTGAGTGAAATCAGTGTTACAACTAAGAGCGCAATTAAAGATGTAACGATGAATGACTTGAGAGCTGGTTCGTAGCAAAAATCTACGTCAAATAAATTTTTTGTCTTTTGCCATTCTGGGGAATAACACCAAACATTTTTAGACACTAAGCTCATTTTTATAGAGGCGATCCAATCTTTGGTCCAAGTGTGGGCGCAGGCACAGCTCCAGGGGTTGTCGTGCAGACTGATCTGCTTCAATGTTACGTTTGTACCTTTTAAAAGTTCGGGGACGGAAGAAATGTTGTTTTCGTGTAGGTGCAGAACTTCCAATTTTCTGCTGTTGAATAGCAATTCCGTTGGAAAAATTTTCAAGTAGTTGTGACTCAAATCTAAAATCTTTGTGCGCCTTAAAACGCTATCGTTCGTCCTAAAATTTTGAAATTTATTTCCTTTAAAATAAAAATCGTAATGCATTTTTAACTGATTACCAAAAATCATTGAATCGAGTGGCGGTATAACTGGAGGAAATTTGTCATAAGCTGCGTCTGAACAGTTGACGACGACAGTGTTTGAGGTTGCATTTTGAAAGCAGGAGCAGTTGACTGGACAGGATTCATCGACCTTGCAAACGTAAACTTCGTGTTCGGAGGCAAGCACAGTTGAGCCAGAGGAGCACATGAGATTCGACAAAAATGAGCTCTTCACATTTCGACTGAGAGCTCGAAGGACTATGTAATCGATGCAGTCACAAGCGAATATGTTACCGTGTAAGTTAATTTGACTGACGTATTTATGAACGCTGTAGGTGAGCATAAAATTCCCGTTGATCCAGTTTTTAAACAGATCTCTTAAATATCTGATGCGGTTGTTGGCGAGGTTAATTAGCGCCCTGTTTTGAGGGTGGATGTCAAAAATATGATTCATTTTGTTTGTTAAAACACTTATGAAGTTGTTCTCAAATGAAATATACACCTCCACATAAAATTTCCCGATAAAACAAGGCCATGCATCTAAGCTAGTGAGCTTGTTGTTGTCCAAATTAATGTATCTCGTCTCGTTGAAGGCATCGCTATCGCTGAACACGTTATTTTCGATCAGAGTTATTTCATTATTGGACAGATCGATGGAATTTAATCTGTATGAGCCAGAGAAGACGTGGTTTTGAAGCAATGTGATGTTGCACTGTCTGGCTGTCAGACTCCTTAGTGAGCCCATCTCCGAGAAACATCCATCTGGAAACACGCCGATCTGGTTGTTGCTCAAGTCCAAATATTCCAAGTTCTTCCGGTTACAGATTAAATTCCAAAGTTTTGAAATTGTTGAGCTGGTTATTGTTAGTTTATTAATTGATGGATTGTCTCTCATTAAATGACCGAGTTGATCAAATGATACATTTCGACAGAACAATTCAGAGCCAGCAAGAGAACAACTGCCATCTTTCTGACAACTAACATCTACCATCAACGAAGTTATTGTTAATATCAATTTTGCTGCTAACATTTACGTTTGGTTTTACAAAAAAATCTCCAAATAATTTTTTTGATTATATTATAACATGTAAAATAATTATTGCGTCGTATCTTATAAGTACTTTTACTTGTTAAAAATTGTTGAGCAAAGTTATGTAAGATATACAAGTAAGTATAATGAACGAACATTGATGATGAAACTTGAAATATACCTATACTTCAACACATAAATTAGTAACACCTTAGTAAAGCAGCTGAACAATGCAGATGGCAATTTATTTGGGATTTTACTCAATTGTTACCTAATTTATGTTCTTCTATCCAAAAATTTTTAAAATACTTCAGAAAACCGTCAGTATGTTTAGTGCATTTTAGTGATCATTTATTCATTTATTTGTATTTGTTCGTTCACTCAATTATTTGATATCTATAACAGCATTAAATCATTCAATTAATTAATTAATTAATTAATTAAAAATCAATAAATTATTTAACTAAGCAACCTGACAATCAGCCAATCAAACAATAAAACAACTAACCAACTGAAAACTAATTAATTAATCAACCAACCAGCCGGCCGGCCGAACCAGCCAACCTACTAACCAATCAATCAACCAACCAAAAATAATTCAACCAACCAATCAATCAATCAACCAATAAATTTACCAACCAACCAATAAATTAACCAACCAATCAACCAACCAATCAATCAATCAATCAATCAACCAATCAATTAACCAAGCAACCAATAAATTAACCAAGCAACCAATCAACCAACCAATCAATCAATCAACCAAACAATCAATCAACCAATCAAGTAACCAAGCAACAAATCAATTAACCAACCAATCAATCAACCAACCAACCAATCAACTAACCTGATCCAGCCACAAAAACTTCAACCTCATCAACCAATCCACGTCTCTACTGCATAAGTAGAGGGCGATAATGTAGTGGAGCAACATCAAGACGCCCGGAGCATCGCTAGGAATCAGGCTGCTGTTGAATTTTTTAATTATATCTAAAAATTATAATTTAATTTATTATTATTATATTTATTTGTAAATAATCAACTAGTTATCATTAATTAAGATTAATAATTGTCATAATATAATTTAATTTATTATTATATTTATTTGTAAATAATCAACCAGTTATGATTAATTAAGATTAATAATTGATTTAATTTTATATGCAATTAATCGCATATTATTAATGACTTTAACAATTAATCGTCAAACGATTTACTTAGTTTATAATATTGATAATACATGATTAGTAGAAAAATTTACAATTATCAGCGTTTGTTGTGAGTTATAATCAAGGAGTACAAAAATATTTACTGAGAAATATTTTTAAAAAGACAAATAAACAAAATGACAAAAAAACCCGACTAACCCGTATTTAGAATCGTAACTGACGAAAAAATTCCTATTTGTTACTTCAAGGACCACAAGGTAAGCCACAGAAACGAGAAGCCAGAAAAGTAGCTTCACTGCCGACTGTATTTTTGTAAAGATGAGGACAAAGAAAAGGGTGAAAATGACGTTTAGGTAGATACACTGGGGCACGGGGCAATCCAGATGGGACAAGTTATGAAAGGAAACGATCAACTCAGATGATGACGACGAGTAAGAAGAGGATGGTGGTGAGTAGGCATATGATGGTGAAAACGATGGTGATGATTTGTTGGGGAATATTGTACCCCCTTTGCAACAGAGCTGTATGATGAATTTATAGTTTGGTTTTAGAAAAAACTGCTAAAAAAATTTGTAAACTATATTTAACAAAAAAGAGAAATAAAAACACCAAAAAAAAAATTCACCCCCCACCGTATTTGTGAAGGACATTACGAACTGCAGGATGATGCTAATGGTGAAGATGAGTTTAACGACCACTAGCGACTGTCGCACGTCACATCTTATGCACTGTTATCATTTCATCATTTGTGTTATAGTAATAGTAGTAGTAATTATACAAAAGCTATTTGTAGTAGTAGTTGTCGTAGCAGCAACAGTAGCAGTAGTAGTAGTAATTGTAGGGTCTATGGATGATGATGATGATGATGATGATGATGTGATGGTGATGGTGATGATGATGATGATGTGATGGTGATGGTGATGATGATGATGACGACGACGATGATGATGGAAACAATGATAAAGTTGACCGCGATGATACATGAAAATGATTCCTACAAAATGTAACAAATATAAAAACATCAAAAACAACAACATCAACATCAACAAACAACATCAACAACAACGTCAACAAAAACAACATCTACAACAACAGCAACGTCAACAACAACGTCAACAACAACATCAACTACAACAGCAACATCAGCAACAACAACATCAACAACAGCAACAACAGCAACAACGTCAACAACAACATCAACAACAACTTTTATTTTTAGCGCCAGCACTATCATAAGCATCAGAGAGATCCAGGTAAAACCGAAGAGAAAAAACACCAACAAAAAGATCGTCCTGTGTTTTAGTTAAAAATTTTCAAATTTAATTAAATCAATTAGGCAATTTGTTAACATAATTAATAATTAACATCAATTATCATGTATTAATTGAAATTAATTGATTATTCAATTAATACAAATTAATTTTAAATCACCGTGGTAGTAGTAAGAGATGGAAAAGCAGTGACATGACGAGCACTAACAAAGCCATCACTAATTTCGAAGAGAACTCTTTGTCATCTGAGTTCGCAAACTGTTTTTTTTTAAGAATTTTAAATTAAAATTATTTAATTATTAGTTAATTAATTAGTTTAATTGTCAATAATTAAATTAGTTAATTTGTTATTTATTATAAAGTTATTACATTAGTTGATTAGTTTGGGATAATTAAATTGTAATGGTGATTGAATTAATTGCCTATCAAAATATCACCAACAACAACAACACCATTTCAACAATACCGACCAAACAACAACAAACATCAACATAACAACTACAACAACAACAAATCAACAACTACAACAACAAACAACTACAACAAAGAACCAACAACTACGACAACATGATCACCAAAAACAACGACAAAACAGCAGCATAAACAACAACATCAACAACAACAAAAACGTCAATCACAACAACCACAACCATTCTTTCCATAGCAGTTGTTTTGAATGTAAGCATAAAGTAGTTGGTGTGTTCGGTTTTCTTCTTCTTGAGTGTCTTGTTGCTGATGCATTGATACAAGTAGCGTTTGTGGCGCTCTTGAAACGTCTGACGCTGCCTCGCGCTGTCGTTGTGTCGATGTGGTTGGAGTTGATGATAGCGATGATGATGATGACGACGATAATGAACACCAACAACACAGATATTGTACGTAACAACAACAGCAGCAGCAACAACAACAACAACATCACAGCGGCATTATTAACATGCGTGAAATTCTCAAACCCCTTTGATAGTAAATGTACGTCATCTAACTCGTTGCTGGGATTGTCCTGTTGGAGTTTTTGTTGATGATGTTGTTGATGTTTTTGTTGATGTTTTTGTTGATGTAGTTAATGGTAATGTTGTAATTGATGATGATGATGATAATGATGATGTTGTTGACGATGACGATGATGATTCGTAAGCTATCAGATAATAATGATAAAGATGATTAACACTCAGAAATGACAGGAAAAACCATGAAGAAACATTTGATGATAGTGAAAAATTAACAAAACTTTACAATGACGACGACGATGACGATGATGACGACGATGATGAGACGGAAAATTTAAAAAAAAATGACAAACGGATATGACGTAGTTGTCGGTTTTGTTGAGAATGTTGCTAAGAGGTTGCTCCACGTTGAATTTTATCGTTGAGAGGATGCTGCCGATGTTTTTCAACGAGTTTTTGTTGTTGTTGCCGCCACTTTGTGAATTGGATTTCGGTAGGAAGTAATGCTGTTTGTTTGTATGTGTGCGTGTTTGTGTATGTGTGTGTGTGCGTAAGTGTCATGTGTGTGTGTGTGTGTGTGTTTGTGGGAAAAATTTGTTATTTGGAAATTGTTTTAACACGTCAGCATTTATTGAAAATTGTAGCATTTTTTAATATTTTCGTATTTGAGATTGAATAAGGGTTTTGAGTGTTGTATTTGAAAAAATTTATAAATGAAACAAAAACCTTTCTAGATTGTTCGTTGACGACAAAGTAAGTTTTGAATGAGGCCAGTTTCGAACCCGGTATCTCTCGGTTATTCGGTTCCACCGAGTAGTGACCGTGCAGACCTTTTAATGTAGCTTCTGTAACGAGCACACGTCTAAAAATTGAAATAATAAAAAATAGAAATTAAATCATGCTAATAATTTTTTTTATATATTGATGACAATATTATTAATAAACAATTCAAAACAAAATTCTGAAATGACGTCACAAAACGAACCCCATTTTGCCGGCCTGTTCGGTGAGGCCTGCCACGATGACGTCAGAACTCCAGGCATCGTAGGTCCACCTCTTCAGGCCCACCACGCCACACACGATGCTTCCGGAGTGCACCCCCACCCTCATACCCAGCTTCACGCACGTTAGGTTGCTGACGAAGCTGTCGCAATGAGATGACGGTGTTAAAGATGAGGATCATCATAATGATGCTTGCTACTGGTAGTGGTTGTGGTAATGAGAATGAAGTGATGAGGATGATGAAGATGATGACCATGATGATGGTGTTGATGTTGTCGCTGATGATGATGTTAAAGATGATGATGACGACGATGGTGTTGATAGTGGTGTGTGTATGTATGTGTGTGTACGTGTACAATAATAACATAACCTTGTGGCTATTAATAACTTCGGGATTTATCTTAACAAATAAGATAAGAATGATTGTGATAATGATGAGATGATGAAGATGATGAAGATTCTGATGATGGTGATGATGATGGTAATGATGATTAAGATGATGGTGGTAATGGTGTTGTGGGCAGACGCAAATTATAATTGTTATTTAATACCATTAAGATTTGTTTACGTTATGTTTTTTTTCTATTTTTTTCGGCTTGCTTTATGAAATACAAATGTTTATGTATTTATGTACGTGTGTGTGTGGTGTGTATGTATGTATGCGTGTGTATGTATGAATGTGTGTGTATGTATGTATGTGTGTGCGTGTGGTGTGGTGTGTATGTATGTATGTGTGTGTATGCATGAACGTGTGTGTATGTGTGTGTATGTATGTGTGTGTGTGTGGTGTTATGTGTGTGCGTGCATATGTTTAGTATGTTTAACAAAGACGTTTTAAAATTGGAAATCTATATAATGCGTTTTGTTTTGGTAACATTAATTAATAAGTTTAATAAAATTTCATGGTAATGAATTTAAATGTGTAGCATCATCTTAGAGACACGATTCCGACAAATTTGCAGTCCCAAAAGCAAGAGTATGATGGATTTGGATATTTTAATGAAATAAACCAAGGGTGGGCCAACTTTTTGCTGTGAGGGCCGCATTGAGAATTATTTTACCCGCCCCTGATATAAACGATATAATAAAAAATTTCACTAGCTAGATTTACCCCTCACGGCATCTTGATCGCCGTTTCAACCATGGCCAGGAATGAAGTGCAGTGAACATGACACAGTAAGGAGTGATAACAACGCATGTAAGACCTTATTAAACTTAAAAAAAACCCGTTTGCTAACTTCAATGTTAGATCCAAAAACTTTTTACGAAACAAACAATTATTATATGAGTAATCTCAAATATGAAAATATTAAAAAATGCAACATTTATCAATAAATGCTGGCGTGTTAAAACTATTTTCAAATAACAAATGTTTCCCACAAACACACACGACACATACGCATACACACACACACACACAAATGAAGAATAAAATGTATTTGATGTTGGATAGATGGATGGATGGATGAACGAACGAACGAAAAAACGAACGAATGGATGAATAGATGGATGGATGAATAGATAGAATGATCTTGAATAAGATGAAAAGGAACAGCAAATTGCAGAAACCATTTTTTTTCATTCATAACATGATGGAGAACAAATTCACATACACGCACACACATATCTAGAGTTTATATCGCACTCATTCAAATCCAACCTCTCTCTCTCTTTTTCTCTCCTCCTTCTCCTCTTTCTCTCTCTCTCTCTCTCTCTCTCTCTCACTCACACACACACACACACATACACACACACACATGTACACACACTTACATGCAGACGTACACACACATACAGGCATACATAATTTTCCATACACACACAAACACACACACATTTTAATACGTTTACAAACAAAACCCACATAACAAAAATGAATTATTGTTGTTATAACACGGCGTCAGAAGTAATAAACACAAACTCCTGTATTAAGTATACAAAACATACAAAATATATACAAAAAGTAT